GATCCATAGTCATACATAACCCCCCTGCATAGTCTTCTGCATTGTTTTCATTAACATGCAACGGTGGCGCTACTCCTTTGTCGCAGTGATGGGCACATTGAACTCCTTAAATATAATACTATTATAATAGATCTAGTCCTGCATGTTTCTTGCCGGCTTGCTAGTATGCTGGCGGCCGCAGTAGCGGGAGGCTTTGTATTTTATGTCATAAATTATGGTATTAGTCTTGAGGACCATGTTTCACTTTTATCTGTTGGCTTTTGCATGAGTGATGGTTGCATGCACGGTATATTTACTACTTATTATGTTTCGTTATTGGCCTTGCCAACAAAAATACACAGCGATAAAATCAACACAATGTATTTTTTAGTAGAGATTTTACGGCGCTCGCAACTGCATAAGGTCATATATTGAGTGCACACAATGTACGTAATTAGTAGCCTAAGGTGGGCTTCGTGTGACATTTGACATGTTGCAATGAGAGTAGGCCTACAGTTTACTTTGCTTTTACGTTAATTTTTCAATGATAGTTCAAGTATATTTTACATCCCCTGGTGCATATTTTTAAACATATTTCAGCCCTCGAATTTTTACTACCATTGTTATTGGTCTAAAATGTTTTTAGGTCTTTATTAATTCATAGGCCTTCATAGCAAATTTATTATTAAGCATAGGCTACCGAAAAAAGGTCCGCTTCCTGCTGATTTTGCTATATAATGTGCGTGCTAGACTGTAATTTGTAATAATTAATAGTGCATGCTTAATCAGAACTTTTCCAGAAACAAATTTTAATGTTTGTGTTTAGGCAGGCCACGTAGATGACAGCCTATACTCTGATTCCAACTCCTGTCCTAGGCCCCATTAGTTGGCCTATTATAATTAATATTAGTCCTGGTCTGGATCTGTCTCTATGACGAAGTAATTACAACTAAGTCTAAAGTATTTTAATATCAATCTTAAAGTCACTTCTCCGGGCTTGGAGTTTATTTTTACTTTGGTATGAAAGAAGAGTGTCCACCCCTAATATGATCTGTATGCCTACCGTTTAGAAAATCAAATCAGTGACTTAATACAGCAACGTTAAGAATTATGTTTAGTTCGTTTCACCTGTTCCAATGCTGACCATAAATTAGGCCAGGCTAAAGTTTAAATTTTCATTTTATAATATTGAATATTATGAATAGATAGGCCTTGAGAGTCTAACCATATCCCTTGTAATCACCCCACAAGTTTTTCACTTTTGTGCCTGTAATCCCTGAGACTTTGTCTTTGCCCACTCCATCCTCAAATACCCCATATTATGGAGCCTTAATGTAACCTCCTTGAAATACCCCCAAATAAATTGAGATCAATTCAACAGAATCTATTTTGAACAGGAAAAACAATAAAACAGCAATTTTTATGACTAATATTATTATAAAAGAATTTTGGGGGGCTAGAAACATCATACACATTTAATTTATTATCTCTTGCAATAAAATGAGAACAGAATTTAATGAAATCATAAATCTCATGGGGTTAAAATGAAACATGAAAATGCCCCTATCTCCTAATAAGCCTCCATCCAGTTCCTTCTGATGTTCAATTAGCCATCCCCCTTCCCCATCTTCCCACTTCCCTCTCAATCCCTTGGGCGCACATAGGGCCTACACTCACTCACAGCACTTTAAACTTAAACAAATGAAACAGAAAGGAGTATTAAATGCTTTGAAATTATGGCCCTAGTTATATTTTGTGTAAATTTGTTGCTTCCCCAGCATCTTGTTTCTTTTTATAAAACTATGACCTGCCATAAAAGAATCATCATTATTTGTAGACATCTAGGATATTATATGCACTTGTCTTTATATGTCAGCATATATGCTATAAACTGATTTATTGCATGGCTGCATTCAGCGTTTCTTCTGAATTGGTTCCTTGGATGAAAAAGTCTTTAAAATTCGTCTGCATGTGCTGAGCATAATTAATTCTTGTGACGAATGCATGGTCGACGGAATGTTAGCTATTTTATAGAGCAGCAGTCATTGTTGACCAAAGTTCCAAAGGCCTGTGATAAACATAAAGTGTAGGCATTGTTTAAATGCTGGTTTGGGTTCACTGTGTCTTCCACTGGGTCCACACCTTGTTTGTTTGACATTTTTGTATCGCAAATACTTCTGCCTCACTCAAGTCCAGTATTTTTAAAAAAGTATCTTTAAAATTTGAAATATAGTAGATAAGCAAGCAGTGCATATGCAAATAAATAACTTAGGCTACATTCATGAATGCATACATTGTGACAGTAACAGCCTTTTTTCATTTTTTTAGTGAAGAAAAATGAAGCATAGCTGTAGCAATTTCTTTTTAAAAAATTCTTAATTCTCTTCCTGCTTGATTCTAAATACTTTGGCCTTTGTGCATTAAATGGTTTTAAAAAAAGAAGCCTCAGTCAAGCTTGCTCTTAATTTTTTATGCTTCCCTTGGGGAATTCTTCTTGTTTGGAAATAAATATGTTTCAAGCAAAGCAAATTGTGGTTCTCCATTTTAACACTAGATTAGATGTATAGATGTATAGACTTATAAATTACAGATTGAGTATGCAAAATTATAACTGAGAGAATAAAACATTGAATTTGATTTTCATCATGTTATTGTTTTTCTCTTTGGTCAGGTTTCAGCAACAACCCACCAATACCTGGAGATTACGAAGCCACACTTGTCGTAGAGGAAGACACTCCTATAGGTAAAAGATCATATTTTTTTAGATTAGGCTTACTGTGTATGTAGGTTTCATACTTTCAGTTCTATCTAAATTCATTGCTTTTAAACATTACATTTGAGCGTCAAAAAAGTACAATGCTCTCAATTTGGTGCGTGAAATTATCATGTGCAGTTTTAGAATGGGTTTTCTTTCAATCTTTTGAATAGCAAGGCATAATAATATTTTATCATATAAAACATCATTTTCTCTTATTCTCACTTAATCATGAGAAATTTGATATTTTAAGAGTAGGCCCAAGTTATTCCATTTCAATTCAAGTTATCTCTCTTGTCTTCAATATAAGTTTTTTGCAATGTCCTGTTCTGTTTTATGCATAACTGATATAACTTCTGGAACGATATGGTTCATTCTTTTTTTCTTTTCCTTCTATAGGCGATGTGATTGGGAACATCACTGCCTCAGATGACGATGGTCAGCCACTGACATTTAAAACTTCGACTCCAGACACGACACAACTCGTTGAACTGAGCAGTCCTCGAGATGTCCCTGGCATTCCAAGGACTAAAGTAGTCGACATCATCTTAAAGTCTGTTCTAGACAGGGATTTTGTAAGTCTTGAAAGCAAGGATGGTCATCCCCTATTTTTTTGGTGTTTAAGAAGTTTTTGTTTATTTTGGAGCAAGTGAAAAACCTCGAAGACATTTTTTGAAAACCTAAGTTCGGTAGACTATGCTCCTGTTTGAGAACTCTGAATCTTCATTAGAGTTTTTTTATCTTTGTGACTAGATCCAATGAATTACTGCATTTATCAAACAGTTCACATCGGTGTCTGTTGTGAGGATGTCCACCATTTCATGTTAAAGATGCGACTTTGCTTCCTGAGTTTGGAAGTCTTATTTTGTCAAGTCTTCTGTCTTTCTGCTGAGATGTTGTGTCCCACTCAGTCTGGGTTGGCTCTGACAGACAGGGTAGATAGAAGCAGCCCATGTCCTATTTTGTTTTTTAACTTCACATTTCATGTGTTGTAAGTGCTAGAAAGTGAATTTTATTTTCCATTTGTAAGTGCTCTTCCCTCCTGTATTTCAGTGCCTGGGCTTTCTGTTCTTTTTTGAGAAGTAGGCACAGTTCGTTAACTGGTCAACAACGGCTGAGCCGGTCACTTTAGTCAGCATAGTGGACAAGAGATTGGCTGCTGACAATTGTTCTTATTAGTAAATGCAAATTCATATTTATCAACATTAAAATAGTACTTTCCCTATAAAAATACCTTGAAAGAGACAAAATGGGCCTGCCGATGTGATGTCGCACCACAGAAACTCGTTCCTAAACCTCAGAATATCTCACTGGCTCACAGTGATGTTGTTACCAGCTGTGCTGTCACGATGCGCACCTTCGTATCACACGCTCAGTGACGACGTCATCCAGCTCGACGACGAATTGAACAGTTTTCCCTCAGAGGAAAAGAGCCCGAATGAAGATCTCCTTTTATGCCAATTTTGCTCTTCTGTAGCTTTCAAAGGATGAGACTGTCTTTAATAGTACATCTTATAATTTCAGTAGCAATATTCATCATTAAACCTGTCTCTAGTCACTTTCAGTTAACATGTACATGTACTGTCATGATGACTTAAAAATCTTTGAGGGGGGGGGGGGGTGTCAGAGGAAGACCAAGGGGGGTTGAAGGTTGAGGTAGGGTGGGGGTGGGAGGAGGAGATCAATATAATTGATAACCGTTCAGTTCCACAAAGCACAAGCCGCCACTGTTGAGAGGTTTCCCTTTCTTCTTGTATCCTTTGAAAGCAGCAACATTTTTCATAACTAAATCAATCAAGTATAAATGTGACTTTATAATATATGGATTCCAAAAGTATTTTGTTCCTTCACAATGCTGATTATATACTATGTTATTATGGTTCAATTTAGATTTTGTAAAATAATCTACAGAGTTTTAGACTTCATTTCACATGATAAATTTTTTGTTATATAACATTCATACCTAGATGCACTGTCACTGCTAACACATTTTGTATCTGGTTGCTTGGGGTACAGTGTAGAAGAATGGCATTTGAGGTCCTTGAAATGTAATAAGACTTTCATCTTCTGATCTTCAGGCACCTACCCAGCGGAGGCTCTACTTTTCAGTGTCTGATGGCGAAAGTTCAGTAAGTCACTCTTAGGGTCTCCCCAAAGGTTTCTCCTCTCACTTTAATAAGGGAATCTTGTTTTCTATTTAAAGGTTGAGTTTTTGTTTAATCTGCCAGATTTTTAAAGTACAAACACATATTAGTGTTTTTGTGGCTACCATAAGACCACTCGATTGTTCTTTTATTTTCTCAGTCCATGTGTAAACTCTTTCTGTTTACTTGTGTTTTGACTGCACTGTTTATAGACCATTGTGTCGATATTCTGTCCTCAACTGTCACAAGCAATTTCTTTTGTAAACAGTTTTTAAGTTCCATCATGCTCTGTTCTCAAATGTAAAGTGGTTATGTCCTTGTCACATAGAATCAAATTCAAATGTCTTTATTTCAGGTTCCATTATGGATCACACTTTTCATCAAAGATGTCAACGATGTTGCTCCGCAGTTTGTAAATTTGCCATACGAAGTCACCATAAAAGAAGTAAGGAACTTATTCAAAGATAGTTTGTCCTAATCAGGCTCAATGACTAAAGGAATGAACAGGACTAAATATGTTCCATTTTGTTCTGCTCATATAGTTGACGTGACCAGTACAAGAACACTGACTTGACTCTGTAGATAGAAATGTATATGTTGTCAAGAAACTAAAGAGAACAATGAAAGAAGCTTTATTAGATAAAATATGAGCTTTAGATATGGTCTGCATTATTATCAATAGGATTATTTGGGTGGGTTTATGCTCATTTGTGAGGCAGCGTGGTGGAATCAGGCTCTCGTCAAAGTAATCAAAGTGAAGAAACTTGCATTTTTCCGCTGGTTTGTGAATTTTTATCAAATTTTTGTTTTTTGGCACAACACCTATCATGCCCATTAAAGAACTCATTTCTGTGTGGATTTTTCTGAAAAACATTGATTAAATGCATAAAAAATGTAAATCTTCAGTTACCACGGACTCTTAAGCTAAGGAAATAGCTAATCTTTGGCGCCATTTTCTCACTAATTTTACCTCTGAAAACAGGTGACCAACACCTCCGTCTTTTGCAAATATCTTGACTTGTATTCAAGATAAATGAATATTTTTTGCATCCAAATAAAGAGAAGTGAACAAGCTTTAAGATGATACCAAACTCTACATGCCCAAAAATTGACGAGAGCCCGATTCCACCATGCTGCCTCACATTTATATTAAAAAATTGTATTTAACACTTTGCAGTCACACAGCCAGCAGTACAAAATACCCTATCTGGTCACCCAGCCAGAAGAGTGACTGCAACGGACCATTCGGGCGTGATGCAGAACTGTGCCAGGTGACCGTAACGGATAATTTTCACAGGTGTATTATTGCGGCAAGTGACTGCAAATTGTTAAATAAATGGAATACTTTGTAAAAGTGGGTAAATCAGGTGAGATTTATAAAATTATATGTTTGTTAAAAGACTTATTGTGCCACATTTGTTCTTTCCATAGGACACACTACCTGGAACAGTCATTTTTTCTGGTGTGTCTGCCAAAGATCCAGACAATGGTCGAGGAGCATCATATACTATGGAGGTAAGAGTTATTCTATATTACCAGGTTTGTAAAACTTCGGACTATTGACCTAACTTCCGAGGTGACCTTCTGGCTGGTGCAAGGGGCTTACTCTTTCCTTCAATTTTTTCCCTCTCCACTACAGCTTCAGGGGAATCTCAGCAACTGTAGCAACTACCGAGGAATCACTCGTCTCTCAATACCAAGTAAGGTCTCCAATAGAATCATCCTTGAGAGAATCAAGTCTGCAATGGATCCAAGACTTCGGGATAAACAGGCTTGTTTTCAGAAAAATCGGTCAACCACGAACCAGATTGCTACACTGAGGATCATAGTGGAACTGTCCTTAAAGTGGAACTCCCAGTTGATCATCAACTTTCTTGACTATCAGAAGACCTTTGACAGTATAGACCGAGCAACTCTTTGGAAGATACTGAGACATAACGGAATCCCACAAAAGTTGGTTAACCTCATAAAGAGCATGTACAAAGGGACAAGTTGCAGGGTTGTACTTTATGGCCAGCTCACTGACAACTTTGACATCAAGACCAGTTTGAGACAGGGATATTTACTATCACCTTTCCTCTTTATCTTGGCAATCGACTGGCTGATGAAGGAAACCACCAGAGGACACAGAAACGGCATATAGTGGACCCCATGGACACAGTTGGACGATTGGACTTTGCAGATAACTTGACGCTTCTGTCACACACTCAGGAACAGATGCAAGCAAACACCACAATTTTGAACAGCCTATCAGAGTCTGTTAAATTGAGGATCCACCCCGGAAAGTCAAAAGTCCTAAGGATAGATGCACTACGAAAGGAGCAGGTCACAATTGAGGAAAATGCACTAGAAGACGTTGAATACTTCTGCTATCTTAGGAATATAATTGACAGAGAGTGAGGAACAGGCACTGAAATAAAGTGCAACATTGGCACAGACTGCATTTATTTCTTTGAACAGGATTTGGAGGACCAGAGATATTTCACTATGAACAAAGCTGAGGATTTTCTACTCAAATGTGGAGTCAGTCTTGTATTGATGTGAGACATGGAACGCATCTCAGATGTGCTTAAAGAGTATCCAGGATTTCTTGAATAAGTGTCTGAGGAAGTTACTGAGGATCAAATGGATTGACAGGATCACCAAAGAGGAAGTATTTAGAAAAATGAGACACTGCCCAGTTAGAGATCAGGTGGGAAGAAAGCGTTGGCGATGGATTGGACACACTTTCAGGAAGTCAAGCAGCTGCATAACAAGAAAAGTGTTAGATTGGAACCCACAGGGTAAAAGATCAAGGGTAAGACGTCGGGGAACCTCGAGATGAGTCACGGAAATGGATATACAGAAAAGTGGGAAGACATGGAGTGACATCAAGTGACTAGCCCAGGATAGGGAAAGGTGGATAATGTTTGTTCGTGGCCTATATCCTGATCCAAGATGAGAAAGGCTATGATGACTACAGCTTCAGCTTACACTACTAATTTCATAAAGGGACTGATAATTTTACTGAAAGACCAAGAGTCTAAGAACTTTTCCAAAATTCAATTTTTCTTCTGTTAACATTAGTGTTTATAGAGGACCTCCTAATTTATTGTCCATCTCCAGTAGGTCTGAGCCAAATGGGAGAATTTATCGAAAGTGCCTTTCACAAGTGCACAAAGTCAGACCAGACTAAGCCTCAAGCCCTTGAACCTGTGATCTCATGATTGTGAGTCCAGAAGCCTAAACACTGGACTATTAACATTTTCATTTTCTGTCAAGACAGAAGAAGGACAACTCTCAAAGGATAACTAACTTCCTTAGTGATCTTGTGGTTTCTGGAGACAAAAGGTTATTATGTACATGGGGACACAGTTACGTAGCTCAACAGGTATGGTTTTTTGCCTGGCAACCCAAAGGTCAGGAGTTCTATTCCCACCAATGTCAGTATTTTAATCATGTTTTCTAAACCCCATGATTTGAGGGCAGGTAGGATTGAGTGGTTATTCTTTTCAGATGAGGACAAACAATTTTGGAGGTCTTGTTTGGAAATGTGCATGTTAAAGATCCTGTGACAGTTCAAAAATTGAAAAGTGTAGGCCCTTTCTAGCTGCTGTCTGGGCAAAATTCAAAGTTCATTTTTACCCAAAACTGAAGTTACTCTAGTCAGTATAAATATTAAGAGCATATGTTTGCCTGTCAGACAACGGTTATGATTTTATAAATTTTATGTAGATAAAATAGTCATGTACGTAAAATCAACTGCACAGTGAGATGAAGCTCATACAGTCAGTTACTTCCTTAGATCTAGCAATGGTATGAGAAGAAGAAAGAAGATTATGCTCACTACTTTTTGTCTTCCATTGATTGAATCACTTTTCTCAATTATTTTCCACTGTTCTCCTGGATCTACTCTAACCACTCTAAGCAATGTTGTTTTAAGGTTTTGTGTAACATTTATGACTGAACCTTTTTTTTTTTTTACAGTTTTTTCTTTTTGAAAAAAAAAAAAAGATATGGCATTCTAATGTCAACAGGAGTATAATATTCATGTTCACTAAATTATACATTTTTATTTACTTTTTTTCAGTCAGATGCCCAGGTGAGTATATTATGTCAGTTTTCGTAATGCAACTCCACAATAATTTTTCTAACGTAGTTCTGTCCTCTGTTTGACATAAAAATAATTTTGTTGGAAAAATTCTGCCCCACCACCTCCTCCCCTCTCCCCCCAACCTCCCCCCCCCCCCCCCCCCCCCAACAATTTTTTTTTTTTAAAGAAAGAGGTACAGAGATATGAAAGAAAATGAAAAACACATGAGAGCCTTTTCTTTCAAACTTCTAATCTTGAGTATAGCTCATCTTCTTGATCAGCCTTTCTCTCTTCGTGCAGAAGTATAGGCAACCAACAAGATCTCTCCTTATTTTTCTGTCTTGTGCTTTTGTCTCCATCTTTGTCCAGCTGTATACCATCTCCTTTTTATCTAAATCTTTAGCAATTCATTATGAAAAAAAAAACAATTTTAGATATTAATAGAATATTATTCTACGAAAATCACCATTGTTCAAACTTTGATTCATTACCCAAGCATCTTATTTTCCATTTTCCTGTCCGTTTTTGTGCTGGATTGAATTCAATACTTTATCATGATAGGCCTATATTTTCCTGAACAAATGTCTTATCATGCAAGACTCTTAATTTTCTCATTAAGTTTTTCTTTTAAAAAGATCTTTTGTGGAGAGGCCTACTAGTATGGTTATGTTGTGAAAAGACTTTCTCGGCTCTGTTTGAACATTTTTATTAGTTGTTGCTAAAATGGGCACTCAGGCTGATTCATGTCCACTCTGATATTATGCAAAATTGCGAACATTTAGCAGAAAGAGCTGTACAGTACTTTTTAGTATACTTCGTTATGAAAAAAGAAAGCTGTACCCGAACAATGTGTTTTTTAAAGATATGTGTGTGTGCCTAGAGAAAGGTACCAAAAGTCGCCAGAGACCATTTTGAGCTACAGGCTGGTAATGACATAAAAATCACTTTTTTGACAAAAATGTGTTTCCAATAAAAAGAAATGATAGTTCTACCTTTTTTTATACAATGTCTTAAAAGAGGTTTTATTGATTTGATTTCTAAATATTTTTTTGGGAATAATTTTGAGACTTATCATATTTTTTAAAGAGATAATGAAAACTGCTTTTAGAAGGTGTTAAAATATATTCTTGAAGCATGTTTTCTCTTCCTTGCTATGTTTTACCATTGAATTCTAATCTTGATATTGATGTCAACTGAATGCCAATTGGAAATGAATTTTCAGAAACAATTGAATCATAATTTTTTTCAAGTTTGAATGTTTCCTAAACCTGAAAGCTAATTTTCTTAAAATTAGATCTTTGTACCATACCTTACAAAAAATGCAATATCTAAAAAAAAAACTACTTAAGAAATCTGAAAAATTCAAACACCACTGTGTTAGGCATTGAATTTCCTACAAGTTACAACCCTTAAGGGCTGATGGGGCACCTGAGGTCTATTTTGGTTATTACAAGGCTTAGAGGGTCCATATTTGCTGTGGGACATGGTGTGTTATTGGGGATTTGAAATCAATAGTTCAAAAAGTGTATTGTGAATCGGTTGCTATGGAAACGGTGGCCACATTAGATTTTGTATACCTTTTTCAATCCCATCTTATTTCCTTATTTATAAACCGATTCACTTCTAATTTGGCATGCCAACAGTAAATATGTAGCTCTTAAATTTGGCCTGTTGAATTTTTTATGTATACTTTTGTTTTTATTTAATGACACTTACAATTGGGACGTTGCAAAAAAAGTGAAAAAAAAATGGAAAATGCATGCTTTCTAAGCCATAACTAAAAAAAACTACTCCATGAATAAAAAATTGAAAAAGCCAAAATTTAAAACTTGTTGTTGGTATTCTGTGAAAGTTACATTGAAATTGAACAAGAAACAGAGCAGCAAAATGGGATAATGTGTGAAAAAATAGAATTGTGAGAAAACAGCCGATACGGGTAAGAAAAGGCTAGAAATCATGTGCTTTTGCAGAAAATCCTGAGAAAAACCCCCCAGCTTTAGGGTGTTGCAAGGCTTACATACGTTTCTGGATATTGTTCAGGAAATGTCCAGGTATTATAATATGTAATAAACCCAATTTGCAAAATTTGACCCCAAAACACGATTTCTAGTTGCCCCACCAGCCCTTAACTCAAAATGGTCAAAATCCGACTTTTGGTACCTTCCTTTAGGCACACACACATAATATGTGCGAAGATCAAAGGGGTAAAAGGGCAGTTGTCCATTCTTTCTACGGGTCATATGGACTACGAATGCTGTGTGTTCCCAGTAGTGCTGTTTAAAATCTTTCACCAGCTTGTGATTAAGGCTCTTTTTGATAAAAATGTTTTTGATAGGCAAAGTAGAGCAAAACAAGCTAAAGAGCTATAGATCAGAGAAGACAATAATGAGTATGGAAGACTGTGACTACTACCCTTTTTCTCCTATAGTCTTCATAGTGATTTCTCCCATTCTCTGAACATTTTATGTGGCTCTTGTAGAGTGGGGTATCTTAAATTAGTGCATGATTTATTTTTCTTTCCCAGGCTGCTGATATTGAGTACTTAAGAACCTTTGAGATCAAGCCATATAATGGCAACATCTCCTTGCTGCTGCCTTTAGACTATGAAAAACATAGTTATTACCAGTTTAAAATCACGGCAGAGGTAGGTTTTTTGTTTTGCCCTTGTGTGCATGCGCGGGTGCATACGTGCATGCGTACGTGCCTGCATACATAAGTGTGCATTTGTGCAATTGGTGTGCGTGTGTGATTTCATCTATATAAGTATTTGAGTATTATATGTATGTGTGTAAGAGTGCTTGTGTGTATTAATATGTGTGTGTTCTTCTATGTTCTAGTGGCAAATTTTGTAAATAACATTTATTACTTTTCTGTGATTATATCTGAGTTTTGTTGTTAAGTGTTCTAAAGGTTGTTTTAACAGTTTAGACTTACATAATAAAGTTACAAGGTACTAATTCATTCCTAATTCCTAACTTTTCTTTGTATCTGCTGTCATTTGAAATATGAATTTTTTTTCTATGTAGGAGGAGCTGCTTGTATCAGCTTCTTTGAATTGTATTTTTTTGGTGTGGAAAACTCCTTTCAACTACATTTTTCTCCTTTTATACTCTGTCCACAGGATGAAGGTGGTCTGAAGGCTGAGCCTGCTGGTTTTGTTGTGTATGTTCTAGATGTTCAAGACAGTCCACCTACTTTTGTGAACTTGCCTTACAGCACAGAGATTGACGAGGATAAAGCAAAGGTTGATTTGCTTATTTTTAAAGAGTGCTTTCATGTGAACTGACCCCTTGTCTCTGTTGCATTAATATTATTCTTTTTCAGAAGATATAGAATTAAAGTTAAGTAATCTATGATTATTTTCTCGTACTATTATATTATCCAGTTGATTAACTCTTTATCTCCGAGGAGGGTAAAGCCACTAAGATGGGGCGCTTTTGGTATGAAGTCAAAAAATAACATATTCGTTAATAAATTGGTCATTAAATCAAATGAAGTGAACCTATTTTGATAGTTCTTAATCTTATGAATGAATACCTGGTAAAAGCGAGACCTGTTTATGGAAATCTGCGAACAGTATTTTGACATCAAAGTTGTCATAAAGGTATGTGCCCGAGCTGCTGCCAGTGACTTACCGTCACGGCGGTTCCGACTGTGAGTCGCTTGGAGTGGCTTGCCGGAGATAAGGAGTTAAAATGACTTTATTTTTTCGCTTTAAGAAACCTATTCTAGTAATTAATGCTTTTTAGTCTGTTCATTATCTTTTTGTTTTAAACATTTCAATTGTTTAATTGCCTTATGTCAGAAATCCTCTCAATACTTTTGATTTTTCTTGGGTTTTACCTTTTTCCAAACAAATGCTTCTCTTTTTTGGTTAGATTCTTGAGGCTGTTTTTATTGTATGCTGTCTTGTCCTACATAGCTTAGATTTTGATAGCTTTTCTTATCTGACTAAAGTTCAGAGCATGATGTATTTTAATGAACTCAGTTTGATTAGATTTTTATAGCATCTGTTTCTTCTTAATCTACGTCGGTCACACAGGGTGCGTCCGTTCAACAAGTTGTGGCTGTGGATGGAGACAGTGGCATTCCAAATGACATCACTTACAGTTTTGTTAGTGGTATGTATGAAAGTTAATAGAAATTCCCAAATTGCAACAATTCAATTGTAACATTTTAATCGAAATATTGACCTAAACCAAGTCGTGCTGTGAATTGGTGTGAATGCAACCAACTTGGTTTTCATGTGCTCATATAACCTCATGCAGTTGAGAGCGCCGTAAAACTCTTACTAAACTAAAAGCAACAATTCAAACAAATGTGTCTTTCTACCAATGTTTGTTTTTAATCTAGGAATAGAATTACTGAAGTTATACATGTGAGGCATCGTGGTGAAATCAGGCACTTGTCCAAATAATGAAATCAAAGAAACTGGCTTTTTTCTGGTCTTTGGGAAAATTTGGTCGAATTTTCTTTTATTAGTTCAGCACTTTTTATACCCATTTAAAAACACATGTCGGTGTGGATGTTACTAAAAAAACATTGATTAACTCTTTATTTCTGAGGGAGGTAAACCCGGGGCCCTTTTTAGTAGGCCTACTAAATCTAAAAGTGACAAAAACGTCACCAATGATAGTACATAACAAAATGGGCCACTCAGCCAAAAAAGTGTCCGCAGGAAGTATGCTCTTTGCTTCAGATGGCGCTGCAGTCTGTTTTGAAGATCTCTTTCGTTTTTCCAGAAAAAGAATAGGAATAGCACCTCCTTGCGTGCGCAGATCGACTGCTGTTCATCAGCAGTTCGGGTACGTTCAGTGCGGAGTTTTAGTTTTTTAAAATTTTAATGACCTCTCGCCTTTCACTCTAAAGTCAAATTAAACAAAGAAAACCATCACCTTTTCCTCCGGAAGAGGTTTTTTGTCAGCGTAACCATTTTAAAAAAGCGTTCTTCCGAAATTTATCCCAAAACTTGCTAGTTTCACTTTGATTTTTTAAAACTCAAGTAGGGTAACTCTGTTCGCAAAGAGTGCGCTTTTGTGAAGAGGGCGCCACCAAATTTTGAGGACACTTTTTTAATTGGCTCAAAGAGAGAAGTGGCCCATCTTGTTATGTACTATCATTGACGTCACTAAATGGATCATTAAGTAAAAACTAGTGAATCTATATTATGATGGTACTTCATCTGATGAATGTACTTCAAGTAAAGGAGACCTGTTTTAGGCAATTGCTGAAAAGTAATTTGGTGTAGAATTCGTCGTAAAGGAATGTGCCTGAGCCGTGCCCTGTCAGCGGCTCACTGGCACAGCAGTTCCGACTGTGAGCAGCTGGGAGAGGCTTGCCGGAGATAAAGAGTTAAACGCACAAAAATGTAAATTTCAAGTTTCCAAGATCTCTCAATCAATGGAAGTCATCAAACTTTGACAGCGATTTTTATGCTAATTTTTCTTCAGAAACCAAGTGACCCTACCTCCTTCAATCTCATATATCTTGACTGGGGGTTGGGGTGGGGGGTGGGGGTGGGGGGGCTCTTGTGAATAAGAAGCACAGTGTTGGCCTCTCATTCAATAGGTCCCAGGTTCGAAACATGACACTGACAGAAAATGTTCTTCTCTGAAATGTTCTTCTTTCTCCTCCTTTCCTGCTCTCTGACCATGCTCTGTCATCTGCTTTTGTCTTCACTTTCTACCTCCTCCCCCTGCCATCCTCGATGCCTCCTCTGGGCTCCTGACCCTTTCTGCTTCCTATTTACTGCTATTCCTTGATTCCTTCTTACTGCTGTCTTTCAGCCACACTCCTGATCTTAGTGTAAGTAAGATTCAAGAACAATCCTTTTCGAAGAAGGGCAAAAAAATCTCAGAGCTCCTGTGTCCAAGTTGCACATGTTTAAGATCTGTGACAGTCCAGAATACATAAGAGTTGGCTTTGGCTGAAACCCGGGCAAAATTCAAAATGAATCCCTACTAAACTGAAAGTGCTTAAGTGTTCCGTCCGCTCATATGACTTTATGCAGTTGTGAGCGCTGTGAAATATTTGCCATAGAAAAAAAAAAAATTACCGAGATAGATGGGTAATATTTACCTCAAAAGTTATATAAACAAGCTTTAAGGGGATAACAATAGCTCCACATGTCCAAAAATTGATGAGTGCCTAATTCCACTGGGTCATGAGATATATGTCTCTTGCAAAGTAGGCCCGTACTGGAGATTATGTTTTCTGGAAATTTGAAACATGTCTGACTTTTATAGCCTTTCTTGTTTCAATAAGGGCTGGCTTGGATTGCTTACGAGAACTGAAAAGATGAAATGTGCAGTAATGGTGGTAAATAATGTGCCTAAAAGTTTAATGTTTTTGATTCTTGAACTTATTGCACTCCTTTGTACTACTTGGTAAGCAAGTGGGTAGTCAAGACATTTATATAGTCACAGGTGCCAAGGATTCAAAGAAACAGGATTTTTTGGTTTGAATCATCTGTCAAAATTTAGTGATGTTTGTTGTTTATGACTGAAGTAGATTTGACACTGCTCTGTGTATTCCTAATTTCTGTTGTCTTTGTGTTTTTCACAACCATTGCTAGCATAGTAAAACAGGGCAGCTATTGTTCTGTTTTGAGATACAGTATCACTCAAAATAATTCTTTTTTGCAGGTGAATATGCAAACTTCGACATAGACTCCACTACGGGAGTTATTAGCATCAAGGAAACGTTGAACAGAGACTCGGAAACAATGAGAAACACGGGAGGAGTGTATGCCATGATAGTGCAGGTCGGTTTTCATCGATCATGTTGTATGTCGTTCATCATTTTAGCTATACTTTTCCTACTATCATGTCCACTTATAATGAGAAACCCCCCATCCCCCCAAAAACACACACACACACATTGAAAGTATTTTCAGTATGGCATGTCTGTGAAAATTTACAGAATTTGTTAATTCAAATGCAATATAAGTTTCATCCCCTATAGTGGTAGAGTATTTGAATTTTTGCCTTGTAAAGAGAATACCTCACACCTCACAAATCATAAAGCTCATGTTTGTAGTATCACTTATTCATAAGTCATTTTAAAGATTTTCATTGCAACTTTGTAAGTTTGAAGTGGATTCTTTTGAAATTAAAGATTAGAATCTTAAGGAGGAAATAAGGTTTAAATTTTCACATTGAAATATCAAAAGAAACTAGTTTTCCTGAGAATAAGTTCAACAATATATTGGCTTGAAAGTTACCAATGATTGGCTGATTTAGAAGGTTCAAACCAGGTATAAATTTATCTGCATAAGTGAATGTTATATCCATATAATATACCATAAGTTACCTAATTTATGTGAAAGAAGTGTAAAATTCAAACTCCGTTGTCCAGGCTGCAGAGATTGTGCCCCCAGAGCAAGTGAACAATGGAGAAACCACTGCAACGACCTTGGTTACAATCACTGTACGAGATGTCAATGACAACGCCCCGACATTCTCTCAGAACAACTACAAAGCAACTATTTTAGAAAACATGCAACAAAATGTTCCCGTTGGATTTGAAGGGAACATCATGCGAGTTTCTGATATCGATCAGGTACTGTTTTGACTAGTGTTTCTTAATGGTTTAAAATTGTATGCCTGCAATTGGAAAGTTTACAGTCTCAAAGCAACATATAAAATAGTGAGTGGCCAACATTTTGTTTTTGTGGACCATACAATCACAGATGTTATTGAAGCTCTTGAATTACTGGCTTCTTTCAGTCAGTGCCAACTTGAAGATTCTTGTCACCTTTCTTGGCCACAGGACCTGTAGAGTGAGTAGATAGTGTTGGGGGACTGTTGTTTCCTTTTGTTCACTTTGTCACAAATACTGTGCTATGCTGGTTTTTGAAAAAAAATAGGTATTTGCCGGGTTGCAGTGTCGGCAAAAGTTCATTTGAAAAATAGGTTGAAGTAGAGCTGTCAGCGTGTCAATGTATCAGTTTTTTAATAGAATTCTACTTAAAGATTGTTTCTGTGCAGATTCATGGGTTGTGAAAAAGATTAATGATGATCACTGTTATTAATTAAAAAATTGTGAGGCAGCATGGTGAAGTCAGGCATTCGTCAAAATAATGAAAGTTGAGAAATTGGCATTTTTCTGAAGGATTTTTTTTTTTCTAAATTTTTTTTTTGGCTCAACACCTTTTTTGTCCCTTAAAGAATACATTTCTGTGTGGATTTTACCGAAAATTGTTGATTAAAAGCAGAAAAGTTAATTATATAAATTTTCTGTTTCAACGGACTCTCAAGCTTAGTAAATAACTCAACTTTGGCAGCCATTTTCTCGCTAAATTTACCTCTGAAACTAGGCAACCCCAACCTCCTTCAATGGCCAATATCTCGACTTGTATCCAGAATAAATGGATATTTCTTTCATCAAAAGAAAGGTAAATGGACAGGCCTTAAAATAATACCTACAGCTCCATATGTCCCAAAATTGATGAGCGCCTGATTCCACCATGTCGTGACACAATTATATTGACCATTTCTTCAAGCATAAATTGACTTGCCATATTCTACTTTCAGGGCACCAACAGTCATTTCTCGGTCACATTCCAAAAAGGAGGTGAGCCTTTTGATGACTTTTCACCACAACCCCAAGAAATTTACTCTGAGTCATCTGTATTTATACGTGTCAACAATTCAACGGCCCTTGACTATGAGAAAAATCAGAGAGTCATTTTTGAGGTGAGACAAGACCATTTTTGTGTTCTCTGTTTTTTCTTTTGAGATTGAGAATAAATATCTAAGTGTGGTGTGAGATGTTTCTGTCTATTCCACAGATATAACATAGTTTCACTGAGCTCATTTGAGCATTGCCTTGTCAGGGTTGATGGTCAGCTAATGTCATGTAACAGATAACAATATCATTTGTAAAAGTTTATTGGAGCTTCTGAGATTTATTTATTTTTTGGGAATTATATTACATATGGACTTTTTTTTGATGATTTTGAACTACAGTGTGACGGGAAGAGCATCATTTAGGAAAACGAAAAATAATTGGTCATCGAATCAAAAGTGATGAAATATTAATAATGCTAAAGTGCTTGTTTACAGTCATGTATCTTCTTGAAGGTGCTCATGGCTTTGCAATGACTCCTTTGGCTAGCTATGCTCTTCCTGTTGGTTTTTTTAAATAATCTCAAGTGTGTGGAAAGGGGGAGAAGGGGGAGGGAGGCGTCTCACAGTATTGCATCCTGTTGGGCTCATAGCACTATCATTCATGTATTTCTCTATATCAATTTCCAAGTACCCATTTGCATCTGGGTGAACTGAGAAAGTAGAGTGTGAAGTACCTTTCCAAATGATGTATTGTGTCCTTAACAATACAGGCAAGAAATCAAACTCACTACTATTTAACTACTAGCCTTGGATGATGGTGGTGGTAGTTTGTTTGTATTATATATGGAAAGGGAAAATGGCTTTTCTCACCCGTGATGCTTCAAAAGGAGTGGGCTTTGTCAGCTCCCTTTTCAGTGACAAGCTATTTACTACATTCAATGCAAATTTCACCTTCTAAAAGTGAAGTTCTTTTCAAAAACAATTTGATTTGCACATGTATCAGATTTTTTTTAAAGGTCCCAGCCATTCATATCTTGTGTGATGATGAACAGGTTGTAGCCAGGGAGCTAGACACTGTTGAGAAGAGATCGTCGACAGCCACTGTCACTATTGAGATCGAGGACATGAACGACAATGCTCCAGAATTTTCATCCTCAAATTATACGTTGGATGTGGAAGAGAACACTGTTCCTGGTACATCTGTAGCTGTTTACACTGTAAGTGATGAGACTTATGTGTTATCATCATCATCATCATCATCATCATCATCATCATCATCATCATCATCATCATCATCATCATCATCATCACCATCATAATCATCATCATCATTGTTGAAAACAAGTAAAATTAAGAAGGGATGAGAGATGTGAAGTTTAGATAAATGGAATTTTTGGGATGATAAAGAAGAAGCTAAACACAAGCTTACAATAAGATTGATCTAATTAGTGGTCGATAAGAAATATAGCATCATTACCTTTATAATCATTATCATCTGTGTCATTATTTTAAAACAACCTTTATCTAAACAACTGGAATTTTTAAATATTCTTTAACACTTTGCAGTCACTTGGTGCAATAATCAGTTCCGGTCACCTGGTGCAGTTCTGCGCCAGGCTAGAGAAGTCCATTGTAGTTGTAGTCGCTCTCCTGTCTGGGTGACGGGTATTTTGTACTGCTGGCTTCTCGACTGCAAAGTGTTAAAGTTCTTTCTCAGTGTAACCTTGTCTTGTTTTACTTTCCAGGCTACGGATCTGGATTCTGGCAGCTTTGGAGAGATCAAGTATTCTCTTCGTGGTGGAAATGGAAGGTATGGTTTGCTTCGATTTTTTAAATGGTTTTGTTTACTCCAGACAGTAGTGTTTACTAGCTATGGATTAAATGTTTAATTTGCTACCTTAACGTTTGGACCTTTATATTTTGTTTCTGCAGATTCAGCATAGAGGAGAATACAGGCATCTTAAGGGTCACAGGTAATGTAGACAGGGAGGAGAACCAAGAGTTTTACCTGACCGTTGAGGCACAGGATGGTGGCGGCTTACGGACACCAGCTGAGATTGCTGTGACCGTTCTGGACAAAAATGACAATGAGCCAGTGTTTAAGAGAGATGACTATGACGGGATTATACGAGAGGGGGATGTGGACTTTGTCAGGCCATTGAAAGTGGAGGTTTGTGACCAACAAGCGGTGATTTTTCAGTAATTTGGGAAATTTTGTAAATATTTGTTTGAGTTGTTCTTGACTTTTGGTCTTTTGGATAACACTTGTTCTTGTGTATATATATGTTATGTGAGTTAAATTACCGTCCATGTCTCATATCTCTTTAGGTGCAAATAACGCCTTCAAAATTATATGCCTTATTATAAGTTGATTGTATTTTTATTCCTCAATGTATGGGCCAATTGGTCTTGTTATTGTCTTTTTTTACCTATTTTTCTGCCCTGGAAATGCCTGTCTTTTGTTCTATGGTATATTATTGAGCCTTGCTTGTCTGCAGGGTTTTCAAGGATCTCTGCCTACCTGGTTTAAAAGAAAATCCCTTAACAGTGTAGGTGTTTTCTCCACACCCCCATCAACACAATTTAGATAATTTAGGAGGCTGGCTTCAACTCCGTCAGTGCCAACCCGAGCTTAAGGGTTACAACGTCTCAGCAGAAAGACGAAGATACTCAACAAAAAAAATTTTCACTTGGGAATCAAGTTCAAGTCTTCTGTGTGTGACAGTGAAGTGCCTGATTGATACACCACAGATGTCGGTTGCCTTGCCCAGTCCTTTGAGAGATTGGGTATTAAATTAGGAGGTCCCATCTCTCAAGTCTCTTTTCTGCTCTACTTACAGTGTGAGAATACAAGATAATTGTACTGCACTGTTTTACTTTTTCTCAGCTCCTTTATTTGTTAATCAACATTCTTTGTTTCAAGTTTTGTCTTCTGTGTGAGCATGTTCTTGTGTGTAGCTACTTGTCACTGTCCTTGCTGAAGGCTATATTCTTTTGTGTGAAATATACGATAAGTCATGAGATCTTTATGCCTGTGATTGACATTAAAGTTTAAAAGGAGAATGAAAGTCAATTTAATGGTGGATGTAGAATTGAATAATCTGTAAGCGATGTTCTTTATATAAATTGATAACTTTATATCAATTGATATACGCTCATGTTCTTGCAAGGTCTTATTAATTCACAAACAAAGTGTTGTAAATTGTTTATGCTAAATTTTTTTTTCTTGTTCTCCTTCAGGCTATTGACAATGATGCAAGTAACACTCCCAACAGCCTTGTGTCGTACCAAATTGTCAACGCACCTCCTGGCCTCTCCGAGAACTTCACTATTGACAGCTCTACAGGAGAAATCACTCTTACAGATCCTCTGGATTATGAGACTTTAGATCCTGCCTTGAATGGGAAAGTGACCCTGACGGTAGAGGCATATGATGCAGGGGACCCTGTGAGGTCTTCTCAAGTCTTTGTCAATATCACCGTTGAGGTAACATTATGGTTGCCGGGTGTTGGGAAATTTACTAGCATCATGTGCCCCTTATGGGGATTGCTATTTTGTGATATCAGAGCATCATTTCCTTTTACAACATCGCTCTTAGATTGTTTTTTCCTGTAATTTGAACGCCTAATTTGCCTTGGATAAACAGAATTAAAGATTTTGGTCCAATATATTTCACAAAGCGGTGGAATCAGGCACTTGTCACTTTAGGGGCTGGTGGAGTTTTGGTATCATCTTAAAGTATGTTCTTGTTTTACATTCGATGAAAAAATTACCCATCTATCTTGAACAGAAGTCATGATATTTCCGATTGAAGAAGGTAGGGGTCACCTGGTTTTAAAGGTAAAATTTTCGAGAAAATGACCATCAAAGTTTTGTAGCTTCCAAAGCTTAAGAGTCCGTTGGAACAGAAAGTTTAGATTTTTTTGTTGCTTTGCATTTTTCAGTAAAATCCACAAGAAATATGTTTTTTTAATAAACATAAAGCGTGTGCTACCTAAACAAAAATTCAATAAAGCCACCACACCGACGGAAAAATGCCGCTTTTTTCAATTTCATTATTTTGACAAGTGCCTGATTTCACCACAATGCTTCACATATTTTTCCCTTTTTTATATTCATGGTCTCGTCTGTTTATACCTCTTACATCATAACCCATTATCAACCCACTTTACAGATGGAAGGTTGGTGAACTTTTGTCCTTTCTTTTTGTCCTAGTTATTACCCAAGTTTAGGAAACATTTTGCGCTTTGCTTTTAATTTTCCATTTGTGCTTTAAAGAATGAAGTACCGAGTATCTTTGAGAAACTGTGAATTGCTGGCATTGTTTGGAAACAAGCATTTAAAATTTCTAACATGTTTTCAATTTTGCTATTGTATTTTTTGTGATAATGTTCTTTTGTTAATCAATATACTTTGTTACACTAATGGTTGAGGAAATAACAAAATAAAAGAATGGAGTTTATGAGTGAACATTTTGTTGTTGTTTAGTTTCATAAGATGATAAGCCAACTTTAATGTTTTCCTATTTATTTTCTTCACAGGATGAGAATGACTTTAGGCCACAGTTCTCAGAAAAAAATTATACCACTGATATTCCCGAGAACTCTGATGAAGGTATGGGCTTCTACACTACAAAGAATTATAGATATGAATTCTATTTTAATTTTCCAATACCATGACAGTCACAGGTCAGACATAAACTTATGTATTCAAGGCGGAGAGCGCACAAGTTTAGTAGACTATAAACACAAGCATGTTTACAAGTAGCTCAAAGTCATGAAATTTTAGCTTTGAAAGTTTTTTTTTAAATTCAGTTTTTCTTCATTAGCAGAATAATTCTCCTTCTCATGTGAACACTTCTACTCGTATGTTGTTTCACTTCCCTTTGCCCCCTCACTAAAGGAACTGCAACTGCCTGCATTCCCATTACAAGTGGTGTGTTTCATGACAAAGTGGTTAAGTATCTGGCACAAAAGTCAGAGCTCATTATAATTTCGGGAGCAGATGAAAAGAGTATAATATCATATTTATTAACAGCAGGACCAAAACACTAACATATCTGAGACATCACCTGTGCTCTTCTTATCCATGTCAGTGAATACTTTTTAACTATTTATTTATTCTGTTGTTATAAAATAGTGATTTCTTTGAAAGACAATTTTCCTAGTTTTCAAGTCTTCTGGGGTTTTTCGTTGTTGTAGCCTAGTACATTTCAGAGTATCAAGAAAATGTGATTTTTCTTTTGCCTGCTGTTATTGATTCTGGTTTATATGTTACATGGTGGAATGGTATGTTAAGCAGGATCCGGTAATTTGGTCTTGTCTCATCAGGTTTTGTTGTCAAAACTGTCACTGCAACAGACTTGGATGGTACCAGTCCTAATAATGATTTTATCTACCGCATTGAGAGTGGAGCCTTTGACAAGTTCCGGATTGATTTTAAGACTGGTGCGGTGGAGGTGGAGAAGAGGGCTGACTTAGACCGGGAGAGTAAAGGAGAATACACGTTGAGCATCTCTGCCATTGACAGAGGCACGCCACCATTGACTGGTCGTTGCATTCTTACGGTAAGAGTTTTACCCACATTTTAAGAATTTTGTGTTTACAAAATTTTCTAGGGGGAAAAGTGGTTGTCTAAGACAGGTGGACATCATGGTCGGTGTCATTATTTTTTTTAAATTGTAAAGTGGAAAGTGGTCATTTTTATAATAAGTGATTGTCTTGCATAGGAGAAGACAATCAATAATGTACATCCTGCAAAGGCTGCATGATATGTATCTGAAGTACAAGAACTGGATTAAATGAGCTTAATAAACCTCTTCTTTTTGCCTGCCTTGAATTTGTATCATTATGTCTCACTTGCACTGAAACTGGAAATTTATGTTATTTTAAAGAATATTAATTGAGTTTTGTCCTAATAAAAGTAGTTTTACTGTTCCTGTTCCTGCAACGTAACCTCTGGGTGTCATTTTTAAAATTCTTTTTGATTTTCTTTTCAGATTCGCTTGAACGATATCAATGATGAAACACCAGTATTTGATATGGAGACGGCAAGTACTGAAATCCCAGAGAACACAGCTGTGGGCTCCACATTCTACACATTCGGAGCCAGTGACCCAGATTTAGAAAGCAACTTAGAGTATCATCTCGGAGAGGTATCAGCTTTCAGTGGGGAAAAAGGAAGCAAGCCATTAAATGTTACTGCCACTGGGGTCAAGGTTTGTTTTGATTGTCAACATTTATTTATTTGTTTCATTATCACATTTCAGATAATAATTGATATTGTTTTTGTCGCCTTTCCCATTTGTCACTTAATGTGGCAATCCTAATGTACTTGCCATAGTGAGGTAGGATGGTGGACTGAAAAGACTCATAACATCTACCGGTAGCTGAATTTTGTACAAGGGCCATTGAAAATGCCCTCTTTTGATAGGTTTATTAGAAATCTGTAGGTGTTTTTAAATGAACGTATGTGTTCCAGTTTTTGTGTAATAATGATCTAAAACCTAAATTGTCCCAATTTAATTCCCCCTATTTTGTTTTTCATTGTACAAATCAAGCCAGAATGATGCTTTTCATCAAAATCAAAATATATTGAAAGAAGATGAGAGAAAAGAAATTTCTTTGACTTTTTCTTTTCACAGACATATTTTGGCATTGGTCTCAACACTGGGAAAGTGTTTGTCCGGAACGAGCTGGATCGGGAAACAGCTGAAAGGATCATCTTGGAAATTGTTGTGGAAGATAAGAATGCTCAGGAAGGAGAACAAACAGCTACAGGTATCGTCCTGTAATAGAACCTGCATCGGTTTGAGTTCCAGTTTGAAGAACTAATTACAGCACCATACTCTTCGTGTACAGAAATGCACCACTACGATAGGGGGTTCAAGAAGTCTTTGGTCTAAATATGAAGGAATAAACATAGACCTTTGTAACTTAGCACAAATACTATTATTTCTCTACATAGTCACCATGCAGCACATTTCGATCCCTTTGACCTTTAAAGGTCCTTGGGAGGAAAATGGTCTAGAATCTGCCCCTAACTAGTCTTCAACAGCTTCAATGGCGTCCTCATTGTCAGGGAAACAACATCCTTTGGGTGATTATTTTTAGATTAGGAAACAGGAAAAAATCTGAGGGGGCTAGGTCTGGTGAATAAACTGGCTGTGACAGGATTTCAAAGCCGCACTGTTCTGCTGTCTGGACTACTTGCTGTTTCCTGTGAGCAGGGGCATTGTCATGCAGTAAGAGGACCCTGCTGCGGAGTTTTCCACGTCTTTTTCTTACAAATCCAGACAGCAATTGTATCAGCAAATCCAAGTAGTAGTCTTCTGTGACTGTTTTTCCATTTTCCAGGAAGTCGGTCATGATGATACCTTCATAATCCCAGTTACACAACAGCATGACCTTTCCACTTGACAGTGTTACCTTTGCCTTCTTTGGTGTGGGAGAAGAAGGGGTTTTCCATTGCATGGAGGACATTTTTTGTACTGTGTCAAAATGATAAATCCATGTTTCATCCATAGTCATCATGTTTTTAAAGAAATGTGTATCATTGGACTCGATTCCAAGGAGAGTTTTTTGCAGAACTCAACTCTCTGCTTCTTTTGCTGACTTGTCAAAAGGCGGGGTACCCACCGCACAGGCACCTTATTCATGTTAAGATTGTCATGGAGAATTGTTTGAATTGACCCTACACTGATTCTCGTTTCACTTGAGAGCTGTTTAACAGTTATACGTCGGTCTTGTAAAACCAGTTTCTTCTCTGTGGATACATGCTGTTCAGTTACCACAAAGGATGGGCATTCTTCACGATCTTCGTCCATCGCAGACATGAATCCTGATTAAAATTTTTTACCAGTATGTCACAGGATAATAACGAGGACATTTGTTGCCATAAACATGGACCATTTTCTGAAAATTGTCACAGGGGGATTTTCCTTGCAAGTGTAAAAACTTGATGACTGAGCGATATTCAACCGGCTGCATGGCACAGCTTCAGCAAAGAAAAACAAATGTTTTTTTGTGCATGGTTTCATTGAACACAAATTTGCAAGGTGTGTTCCAAAGAAATTGTCTAAAGGCTGGCAAAACTTCATTACTCTACCATGATTCCTTCATACCCACACCAAAGACTTATTGAACCCCCGTCATAACAGCAGTATGATGGTTTGGAATGACCAACTCTCCAAACTTTCAGATAGCTTGTTTTTGTGCTTGTGGGGTCAGAAGTATAAATGGAAGTCATATCAGGTTAGAGAGTTGTGTGGAAAAACTCAAATGTGAAAAGTTGTCTTTTGTTTAAAAGGGGCAGATACACAAGCTCCAAAACTGTTCTCCCACGTTGATAATTGTTCAGATAACTGGATTTTCAGATTTATTGCGTCGGGAAGTTTTCAGACTAGTGATGTTACATATTTTGATCGGAGAAAGGCAGCCCATCAAGGATATCTAAAGATTATCAGTATTTCTCTGTTTATATTAATGAAGGCGGGCAAGATCTCAAATACCAACATAAGTTTGATCTGTTTTGAAGATTAGGACAACTTATGTTTGGATACATAGGCCTTGCCATTATAAGTTTAAAGAACTGTGATTTTTTTGTTGTTAGGTGTTTTTTGTTGTTTTTTAAAGAAAAAACTATTTGTATATTACATAAAACAGTTTACATGTATTCAAATGCTTTTAACTGTTTGTCACCAGTAAAAACAGCACATGTTGGCCTGTATATTCTGTAGGAACTCTGACGGTGACTCTAAGCGACAGCAATGACAACGCACCCCAGTTTTCTCAGCCAGGTGGTTACACAGTAGATGTGCCAGAGTCTGAGAGCCTGCAGTCAATCGTGCTCCAAGTGTCCTCCACTGACGCCGATGATGGACAGGTCATCACATACAGTATCGGAACGGCCACTTTTGATGCTTTCACCATCAGCAATGATGGTAAGAAATTTTTTAGATCTCTTCACTGAAATCTGTCATTGTGAGGCTTTGTTTTGAAATCAAAGAAAACAGCATTTTTCTGTCTGTTTGGTAATTTTTATTTATTTATTGATTTTTTGGCTCAACATCTTTTATTGTGAGGCAACATGGTGAAATCAGGCTGTTTTCAACTTAATGAAAACGAAGAAAATGGCCTTTTTTTTATGTGTGTGACAAATTTAATCAAGTTTTGTTTTTTGGCTCAACATCTTTTATGTCCATTTAAAAACACATTTGTGAGGTGACGTGGGGAAATCGAGAAATCGTCGAAATAATTAACTTGAAGAGTACAGCATTTTTCTGTCGGTTTTGTAATTTTTATCTAGTTTTTGTTTTTTGTCTCAGCATCTTTTATGTCAGTGTAAAAACACATTTCTGTGTGGATTTTACTGAAACGCCTTGGTTAAAGGCACAAAGATTGTAAATTTTCAGTTTCCAAGGACTCACATCTTCATCATCATCATAATAGGCCTAATGATATTGATAAAGATCTTTTCAATTGTGCTAACTTCCTGGTGGCTTTAGGCACTTCACAATGAAATAAGATTGGAGAATTAAGAAAAGGAATCCATATTATTGTTAGAAAACAAAACACTCAATGTAGATTATTTCAGAGGCAAGATGCTTCAACCGTACGTACGTGTTACCTGTCAGGACAAATGTGGGCAGTATAAAATCCCAGAGACAGAGAGATGAAGACTCTTACAACAACAAAAGTTTCCCCCTAAGTCCTCCTTTTTTGTTTGTGACCATTACTCTACTACGGTTGGTGCCCACAAGATGCCAGACTGATATGAACAGCAATAGAAGTGCGACCTTGTTTTCTGCAGAGTAGTAGGCCTATTGATTGTCCCTCCCTCAGGCACAATACGTCTCAAAAACGAGCTGGACAGGGAAAAGGATGATCAGGTGGAGTTTGAGGTGATCGCCACAGACAATGGAGTCCAGCCATTGTCGTCGACGGCCACTGTGACCATCGTGGTTCTGGACGCAAACGACAATGCTCCCATCTTTGACCCCAACCATAAGGTCAATTTTGAAGTGGCGGAGGATGTTGCTGTTGGCTTCCCAGTGACTCGTATCACAGCCACTGATTTAGATGATGGAGACTTTGGTACAGTTCACTATGCTTTAGTTGGACCAGACACTGAAGATGGAATGTTTGCTATTGATGAGGATACGGTAACTACTTTAAGTCTGTTTCTTCTTACCTTTCTAAAAAAGCAAACCCCATTTTAGTGGTTGACAATTTATGGAAGCCTTTGTAAATTTGGTGTGTTTTGGGAATATCTTTGAGGGAAACACATAAATGTGAATTATTGTTAAATTATTGCAGTTTTTGTTTGCTCCATATTGTTCTGCCCAGATAAAAGAACAAAAGGCTTTTGTTTCCAAAATATGCTTTCTAGATCTTTGCTTGTGGACATACTGATCGTACAATAGAGCCTCATTTTAAGTTTTATATTTACTTGAGACTGTTAGGTGCCCTGACTTTAGAAATATCTGGAAAATGTGATCTAAAGGTATCTATATGCTCAAATAATGTGTGCAAATGCACACCAATCATAGTTCAGTTTGAATTGATGAAGAGGAGAATGTTCCTTTCACAAAGTAAAATTTTATGTTCAAGATTTGTTTGTACTTTGGGGAAGAAGGAAAGAGCTTTCTAGACCAATGTTTAAATTGAAGATGTATGAATAAATCTTGTCGCATCAAGAACAAGAGCAGCCACAATCAATACATCAACATCAACAATGATATGTTACGGTCATAAGAAGTGGTACAATCAACCATTTACTTTCTTCTACTTAGAGAATTTTAAGCATACTTAATTAGAGGCTATTTTAACATGCAATTTTTTTTTCTGTATTCTATTGAGGATTGTTGATATATAATATATTGTTTATTTCCCATGATTAAGGTAAGTTCTACTGCTTGATCTATTATATTTTTTAGACAACAATACATTTGTCTCTCCTAAAACTTTAATTTATTATAAATAACGGACGCTATTGACAGCACTGAGTGTTTGGAAGAACATTTATGTTTCAACTAATACCTCTTTTATTTCAGGGTGAAATTTCCGTTGCTAAAGAGCTGGACAGAGAAGTGAAGGCTCTCTACAAGTTTGAGGTGGAGGCAACTGACTCCATGCTCAACCCGGAAGAAAGTGAAAGTGCAAGGTATAACGTAGTCAGATGCAGGAATGAGAGTTTACTGCTAATCTTTTTATTCATCTGAAATACAAGTGTTCGACTATTTCGTAAGTGCTGGAGTCTCCTATTCTTCGTGTCTTTAATTGTGCAGCTTTAAGCCATAGGTTTTGTTTTGATAAATTAATCTTGCTACTCAGAGCCTGATCCTTTCTAATTAATGTACTCTTGATAGTTGTGTGTTTTTTCTCATTGTGTCATCACATTGCCCAAAAGAGAAGGGAATGTTTACTTTTGCAGTGCCTCTCTTGAGATGGTAAAGGCTCCTAAACCCATCTGCAGAAGAGGTGTTGATGATTATCTATTGATTGCTTTACTTCAAACTGTTTCTTAACTCCTAGGTCTCGCATAACGGTGGTCATCAAAGATGTGAACGACAACCAACCAGAGTTCACTCAGGTCATTCCAGACAAGCCGACAGTACCAGAATCCTTCCAGGGTGGGCAGAATGTTGCCACAGTGGTCGCCAATGACAAAGATGATCCTACTACAGACAGTGGAAAAATCCTGTGAGATTCACATTACTTCTGATTCTCTACCTCATCATTTTGGCTGTTGCGCTTCTTTTTCTTCTAATTCCTTCTCGTTCTCTCTCCTCCCCTTATTTACCACCTCCTTAGATTCTTCTTAGATCTCCGAGGCCTGTTCGTCATTGTAGCAGATTAAGATGGGAAGACGGTGATATACTCTTTTTTTATACTTCACTAATTACTTTAATAAATCTTGAGCTTGGCGTAAAGAGGTAGCCTGATTTGATGCGCTGGGGGATAGGGTGGGGGATACGGACGGAAAATGTGATATTTTCTTCTTGAATGTATTTGCTTTTTAAAAGATTGTTTTGTTAATTGCTCATGATTTGTAAATGTAAGTGGAATAAATATGTCTGGAATGGCATGTATTTTGTCATTCTTCCTTTTTATTTAATTAGAGATGATAGGTATTTTTCATATGGTAAATTATACAGTGATTTCTGCCTTGGAAAACACTTTGTTAGAACCCACTCTACCTGATAACATAATTTTTTTGTGCTACAGAATTTTTACTTTATGATTTTCACATGTAAGACACTGTTATAAGAATAGAAGTTAGCTGAAGAGCTTAGGGCTATAAACTTTACTAGGCTGCTGTACCATACTTTGTGCACAATACATATATTTTGTGTCACAGAAACTGATGAAATCTCACTCACCCTTCTTTTCTTCCAGAAGAGGATAAATAAAGCATGTTCTTATGTTGTCTTGTCTTGTTTGTGTTTTTCTTGTTTCAGTTTCTCCCTGGGAGATGACACTAATGCTACATCAGTGACAGGCTCACCCCTATTCCAGATCAGCTCTGCAGGTGTTATCTCTGCTTCAATTGGCCTCAGTGGCTACTCAGGATTCTACTATGTCACTGTGGTGGCTAGCAATCCTGGAGGGCCGGCGGGAACTGAGAAGCAAGTGGTCATTCAGGTTCTGGATGTGAATGATGAAACACCCCGCTTTGTCAAGCCAAGTCAGGACAATGATGTGGCCTATGTCATGGAGGTATGGTAGCAAAGCTAATCTTTAATGCGTGTTTTATGTGCAGTTCGCCATTTGCCTCCTGAATTTTTCTCAGTGTTTGGACAAAATCGATTTCCACAAGGTAAAAGGTGTTCACAGTAATGGTAAAAATATTTATGCATTTAAAAATTATTGAATGAAAGTCTTGATTTCGGAAGTTAGAAAAAAAAAGAAAAAGAAAACTGCATTATGAACAATGCGTACATATTGTTATTATATTATTGTGAAGAAATTGTGCCAGTGTCAGGTCACAGTCATGAAAGGAGGTCAAAATACAACAAAAGATTACAAAGATCAAAGATAACTTGAACATTTGCCACTTGTTTAGAAAATACAGTTTCTTATACAGCTGATATTTCGTTTTCCTGTACAGGGGAGGAAAGAGTATCTGTGAGTTAGGTTTCTACTATTGGAATCATTCCAATAAGTCCCATTTGTTAAAAGTTGCTTAATCAGTGCGAAAATGAATGGTCTCCAGAAATTGATTTTAGGGAATTTGAAATGTATTTGTGCCATACTCAAAATAAACTGAGGGAACAAAACTTTCACACTTTTAATTCAACTTTTGTTTTGTTTTGCTTTTGCAAGCTGTGTTTTATTTCTCTTTCACAGAACTCGGAGACTGGTACCTTTGTGTTCCAGCTGGAGGCACAGGACAATGATGCAGGGGACAATGGTGTGGTCCGCTACTCCATCTTGCCCTTACCCAACAGTGATATGGACGGTTCTAGTCAGTTTGCTGTTGATGCTGTCACCGGGATCATCACAACCGTGCTAGAAGTTAATGCTGAACTTCAGTCCCGTTATGAAGTGAGTACTGTTTCTGGTTATAATAGCTCTCATCTACAGGGCTTTATATTTCCATCAATCTTTTTCTGACCAGGATGTCATTTGTAAGTCAGATGAAGATATAGGCAAGAAAAGGAAAAGCTTTTAAAAAATCAAGAGAAAGGTAAAGCCATCAGAAATGGCAATGTCTAATCGATGACAATATTTTAAATTAAATACCATTAACGCAGGACTCTGTATTCTCCCTTTTAGCAAATGTTGTAAAGCAGCATAGATTTCTCTCCTGATCTTCGTTTGAAATTGTGTGTAGAAAGTTTTCAGAATCACGAAGATTCTCCATGGTAGCTGGTACAGGTCATTTTCCAAAATGGTTTTAAACCCGTTGCCTTGACGAAATTGCAGGAGAAGCTCATTGAAAAAAAATACATGTTGAACATACAGTTGGAAACCATTCATGTACCCTTGCCATAATGTCTTATTTTTATTGTTTACAGTGGTCAGGAGTATTATTCTGAAAGTTTTCGTTTTATTATTGTACCTTCTATTTTTTTTCCGGTATATGTATGTGTTTGTGAGTATATATTTCCATATTTCCAAGACCATGACATTGTGTGTGGAGGGCTCATCATATGTGGTGGTTGTCTCTTTTCAAGGATTTGGTAATGTAATGCTTAAATTATCTTTGGAGATCTTGAGTTTCAACCTGACTGCGTGTAACTGTAATCTGGCTGACTGACTGTGATGTCCAACCTATTTTATCCAATTGAACTTAGTCTCTTGACAGTTTTTTCAGTGGTTTCTTGTTGACAGTTGTTCTCAATGCTGTTTCAGTCTTATTGCTGTCGGTGTACGTTAAGACAATTAATGTTCCAACTGAAATCTATCAAAAAGGAGCCTTAACAAGATTAGTGCCAAATTCGTCTCACCTTCAGTCTAATTGTTTCCCATCAGTTACGTGTGCAAGCTGCTGACCAGGGTTTCCCAACGCCTGCGAAGACATCCTTGACCTTGATTGTGGTAGTACAAGACAAAAATGACCATAAGCCAGAATTTGTGGGTCTGTCGGCACCACATGTAATCAGGATGAAGGAGAATGAGACGAGCTGTGCCAATGTGAGCCTGGCCATTGACCGAGATCTGAACACTACCTTCACTGTCATCTGCTACTACTTGATAGGTGAGACTGTCCTATTATGATCTTATTTCTGAACACCATGCTCAGCTATTTTATTGACAGACTTTTCATAATGGCCTATGTTTACTGTGTATTCATTCTTAATTTGGCATTAGAAAGTATGATAAATTTTTGAATAACAGCATGGGCCGGGAACACAAGACAATAAGATAAAGAAAAATTATTTCGACTAACATGGAAAGCATAAAAAATTTCAACATCTACATTCCCCTACTTGGATGAATTGTACATAACAGCTTGCACTAAAAAAATTAATTCCATCTTTTTAGACAACAAACTTCCCTTGTTCCTTCAAATAAAAACATCAGTCAAAAGTAAAAGACCTAGGCTTCTGATCTGTAACAAAGAAAGATATAGAAGGTCATTTTTATCATCGTCTATCAAAATGCTTCCATCTTAACCATCTTGTATAAGTATACTTACGACCTTAGAGCATGCATCAAAATAACATTGAGTGTGTATCTAGCCTACGATTATTATTTTTTATATTGCTGGTCATTTATATTATGCATGTGATTGTAAGCCTTTGTGTGTGTGCATGTGTGTTCTCGTGTGTGCGTGTGCGTGTGTGTGTGTGTGTGTGTGTGTGTGTGTGTGAATGTGTGTGTGTGTGTGTGTACACGTGGTGAAACACTAAACCGATGTGCCAGGATTTGGACAATAAAGATGTATCTTAACTTATCTTATCTTTTCTTATCTTATTACTTTGTCTCTAAAGAATATTAAATACCGGTATTGACAATTTATCAACCAGTTCAGCATGTCTATTGTTACAAATAGTGTTAAAAACTAAAATGCTTTCCTTGGTGATGAATAAGTCCTAAATGGAGAAAACAATCAGCGAAATGACGAATAGAAAAGAAGATGCCTGAATTAATCATTTATCTAGACAAGTGTGCTGAGACTATCGTTTCACAAGCGATATAAACTTATCTAGGATTGTCTTGGAATTCTAGCAGTAATGGATGCTCCAAAATTTGTTCTCTGATTTGCTAGATCTCATGCTGATTTAATTGAAAACGCTTCAATATGGTAGAATAAAAAGAAAGATTTCTTTAAAATAGAAAAGAGCAAACTGTTCACTTCATGAAATGCAGAAAGCTGCATTGCCATTAATACCAAGCTGCTTGCAAGCATGTTCACTGCATTGATGTCGCGATGTGCATGCACTTGTATGTAGGCCTATGTATGTTTAGTAAGTGCATGTGTTTGCTAGCGTGTTACAGAAAGTTGGTTTGGGGATAGGTGGGAGAGGTTGATTCATTTGCTGGTCACAAACTCTAAGGGAGTAAAGAGGGAAATGCTAAAGTCGTCTTGTCTGATGTTCTCGTGGACAGGAGTGGATGTACCAGACAAGTTCACTCTGGGCAGACAGGACGGTCAGTTGTGTTTGAAAACTCCGCTGGATCGGGAGACAACTCCGTATGTTAACGTTGTTATTCTGGCCCTGGAGGAATGTTACAGGTGAGACCACAAGTTGTACATAAATAATATGTGAACTTTCTTTTATGTGGCTGTGTCGGTTCCCTTTCCTGTCTCTTCTTGGGGTCGGAAGGGGGTGTTAATGGCCAAATTTCTCTCCTCTCTCTGTCGTTGAAAAGCTTTGTGTTTACTTGCTCTTAGAAAATTGAGGCTCATAATATATAGAATCACTTGTTGACAGGAAATGTTTATATTTGCAAAAAGTTGAACATGCCAAGATAGCTGTCTATTGTACATATTCATGGGCTGCTCTCATGAGAGTGATGGGGATTTCATGAGAAAGCCCATTTTAAGAATAATGATAATGATGTTACTGTTGGATTTCTTGGTTCAGGTCTGACATTCCTACTCAGATGATCTCAATGGGAATTGGTGATTTATTCCCTGCCATGTACAGACCTGCTCACACAAATAAAACCTGGATTAAATTGCAGGTAAGTTTATTTTTTAGGTCACTTTGTTATTTGACAAACAATTTTTGTACTCGTTTACACTGTTCACTGTCTACCGTGCAAAGAACAAGATATTAGCACGTTTTACAAACAGCAGCAGTTCCTACATTTTTGGGAAGATGGAAAATGTTTATCATTCCTGAAAAAAATTCAAGTGGTGCCAGTGATTTTGTTTCCAAATAGCCATGTCTGGATCTACAGGTGATAGAAAAAGACTTATTCTTTCTTTTTTCTACTTTTCATGAAAAAAGTTGAGCTTTATTGGTGTATTTCATCATTTGTGGCTAGGGTTTTAAAAAATTCCATCATTCAGTGTTATGTAGACCCTTGTGTTTGGAGATTAGGAATCTCTGTATTTTTTAAAACAAAATCGTTGACTTTTTTGTCTAGCTAAAAATGTCCAATACCTTCCATAAATATCACTGAGTCAAAGTGGGAAAAAAACATCTGAGCTGCTGAACCCATTTAAAAAGCAATGCACACACAGTTCACTGATCATGTGACCCAGTATTATGGGTCAGCCAAAGGATAAATGTCTTTTGTTCAATTTTTTTGTTTTGAATGTCATTGCCTGGGAATCATCAGCCTATAACTAAAAAATTGGTTGAAGACTTGTACAGCCAACAGTATCAGTCACACAATAGTGGGCTGATACAATCAGTGCCTAATTTGTTATAAAGGTCTGGTATATCTGAGAAACAGCTGTTTATATAATTGATTTTCTAAAATAGTGTGGCACTCTTCTTAAATATACCCTCATCTGAAATAAGCGATGTCCACCAATTTGAAATGCAAGAATCTCATGCACCTACTTTTACACACTGTTTTTGAGAGTGTCATGTGAACCCAACTCTGTTCCTCAGGTGACGGATATCAATGACAACCCCCCAGTGTTCAGAACCAAAGATCTTGCCCTGGGTGTGACTCGTGTCACCCAGTTTGGGAAGTTCATCTTAGAACTGAGGGTAAGTTGCCAGGAACCCCTAATGCAAGAGCTGCAACTTTGTGGAACTTTCCAGATATGGAGTTTCATAGAATGATCCAAACTTGTGCTTTTTATATCTTGATTTATGTCTTTCTTTAGGTTTCTGTCTGATGATTTCTTAACCTTATTGTTTGAAATCCAGCAATTTATGGAAATCCTATAACTTGTTGTTGACGATCCGACCTGGTTCCAAGGATAGAGTTTTCCTGTGTCCTGCTGTTATATAAATGTTTCCTTAAACATCAAAGAGGAATTCATATGATCATATTTCCAGAAATATTTAGAAATTGTGAATATTTACCATAAAATGTGTTGGTTTTCATCTAGGTAGTAGAAATAAATTGAAATTGTCCTGGCAGGCCAACAAACAAGATGCTCAATCTGGCTTTGAAATAGATCGGAGAAGCGTTTAAAGTTGATATATATTCCATAATCTTTCCATTGTTAATCATTGTATGAAGCTGTTGTCATTATACTTTTCCATGGTTATTTTTATTTTGAAAGAGAAGCACATGGGCTCATTAACAGCCGTTTAGTGCAGGAAAAAAACAAGATAGACAGACAGAAACAACAGAAAGAAAAAAAAGTAGAGGTACCAATGGTGCCCTCCAACTTCTCACAAATTCACTAGCTTCATTTCTGCAATTGTGACTAAGCACTAAAGTTCATCATGATCTTATTGTGAACGTCCACAGAATGATGTAGAGGACAAAGATACTGCCTTATGGGGTATCGATTACTTTGAAATTACATCTGAGTTTGAAGCTCACCCCGCTGCACTGAAGAAAGAATTGGAGGATTTGGGAGTCAAAGAACCGTTCAAGCTCTTTCGTAATGGTTCGGTGAAGACCAACATGTATTTTAAACCTCAGATGTCTGGATTTTTCACTGTGAACCTCAGAGTCTACGACAAAGGGAGATTGTATGATGATGCAAGGCTACGAGTAAGTTTTTTAGCTTTACGTTGAGGTGACAGTTTTTGATAACATGAGAGGCATGAAAGTTAGTGATTTCGGTACTCAGGTACTGTGCGTACTTATTGTCCAGAACTCTGCTGGATACTGTAAAATAGGCTTTCTACTCATTCATTGAACGTTTTTAAAAACTTTTCTCAACTTAAATTCGTATGCTGAAATTGGATGACACAGAAAATTGTTTTTGGAGGAATTCTTGAAAATTGTGGAGTAGGCATGTCATTTTTCAATTTAATTGAAAAATTAAAATCTGACTGAACATGTTGGTTTTGTGGCTATGATTTTACTGGACTAACAGATGCAGTGTAATGGTAATTTAGTTATAATATATATGTGTCCCATGACTTATACATATACTCACAAGCACACAATAACACTCTCTCACAAGCACACAGATGCACATAAATGAGCACATTCTCTTGTTGTGTATCAGTGCACTGCTATTGATTAATAAAAACCTAATTAGTGATTGCTGATATGTATTAAATACAGTAGAGTCCACTTAAAACAAATGTGGTTTATCAGAAACAGCGGTAAACCGATAAAAAATTATATCCCTGATTTGTTTTTTCTTCTCTTTGAGCAACCTCTCTAAACTGAAGGAAATCCTGTGGTCCAGAGATTGCTGTTTAAGAGGATCCACTGTATTTTATTGAAATGAAAGGCTCTGACAACTTGACATAAAATAATTATTGAATGGCTTGTGACAATTTTTCAGTTGTTATGACTGTCACTATTATAGCATGACATTCTCAGAAAACTCTAGGAGCCTATTTTGTTTTGGCTACATCTGTGGTACCATCACACATAAATGTGTTGCTGGAACTCTTTGTACAATTTGTTTATGTTTTTTTGTCAGATCTCCTTGATCAATGATGACCAACGACTCATCATCATATTCAGGCGATCTATTGACTCTGTTGGACCTTTGAAAGATGAGATAGTAAAGTGAGTATAACTAATAGATCATTCTTGAGATGTTTTTATGGATGATTTGAAGTAAAAATTCAAACATGTGCATCATTCAGAGTATGTTCAGGTATGAAATCAGTTTCTGAGAATTTGGTGAAATGCAAAACATCCTGTATGAAGTGTGATTCTACTGTTTAAATATTACCTTCTTGATACTATTTCTACTATATCTTGCCCAAAAATAGTTGGTATTGTGTGAACTACAAATCGACCTGCGTAGCCATTGTGAAACGAAAGAGGAAAGAGAAGTCATCTGCAACCCAGATTTAGTTTGTTATAAAAATCATACTTGCTCTAGGTGACTTATATTTGCCCCATCTCCTCACCCTACTTTCTGGCGTATTACTCATTTGCCTACTTGGCTTCCTTGTAATTAGAAAATTCCCTTGTGTGCTAGGCTCAAAGCAATAGAAAGTCAATGTGACTGCCATCAGATGTTGATGTAACCACTTCTTTTTCCCCAAAGTAGCTCAGATTCATTAAAAAAAAAATTCCTTTAATCTTTCCAGGCGACTGAGCGATAAATTGAACTACAGGATTGTGGTTGACTCAATACAGACTCATGAGACAGAGACGGGTGCTGCAGACTTGGCAAAGTAAGTACTAAGGGGAACTTCAACTGATAAGAACTTATTCAGAGAATTGTAAATTTGAGGGGGTTTGTTGCTTTTTGTCTGTATTGGCTCTCCTACATTTTACACACTCATCAGTACAGGTTTGATCATGGGTGTGCTACATTTTTCATTAACCTGCTATTTTCAAACATTGCAACAACAATAAGGCCCAGTCACTGTCAAAAATATGTAGTCTTAATGACAACTAGTTTATTGAGTTGTAAATATGGAAACAGTAAGTGAAGGCCACACTGACTGGTCTGCCATGGTTGTGGACCATGGGCAGCATGTTGCATACCAGCTTTGATATAGATCAATAAGGAGGCTGGTCGCTTTGGTCTTATGTCAGGGCCAAAGAAGGATGTGTTGGAATATAGGGTTTCATCAGTTAGACAGAGGTACTCTATGAAAAAGCTTGCCTGTGCTGGAATCAGACTGGTTTCTTTTGTTTGCAAGGCAAAGGGTCTATTCATATCACAGCAGGTGCAGGTATAGACGTCCTTTGTATCTGATTATCTGTATCATAGAAGTACTTAATACATGATGCTTAATCTAGAATCAGACCTTTGGAGTGATGTATGTTTCATGGTTTATGAGGTTGGGTGTTATATTTGTGATTATGTAGCTTGATAAGTGATATGTCTGTTGTTACAAATGAAATATCACCTTAAGTTTTAGCAAGATCCATGTGTGTAACATCATAGTGAAATCAGTTGCTTGTCAAATTAATGAAATTTTCAAAAAGAAACAATTTTGTGCCCGTTGGGCAGTTTTTATTAATTCTTTTTTTTTTTTTGACTCATCACCTTTAATGTCCATTTAAGAACATTTATATGTGGATTCTACTGAAAAACTTTAATAAAAGCTTAAGAAGTGTAAGCTTGCAGTTTTTAAGGATGCTCAAGCTTTGGAAGTCATCAAATATTGGCACCCATTTTGCCACCAATTTTATCTTTGACACTAGGCGATCCCCACCTCCTTCAATCACAAATATATTGACATAATTCTTCACATAAAATTTGACCCAATTGTCCAACTCAGTCAATCACCCTTGATATAGCCTGAAATTTGTATGCAATGAAATTTGTACATTTTATGGAAAGATTTCTGAGTCCCACCAATTTCACTGTGCATGCTAGACTGTAGTCTCTATAATATACATATTTCATTTAACATTAAACTTATATTTTTCAGAACTGATATGTTTATACACGGGGAAGATTTTGAAACAAATGAAGTTATCCCAGCTGCAAGGTTATTAAGGTAGGTATACTTAGCCAAGCAAGGCAGAAATGTGACTTGAAAGACTTCTGGAATACAGCGTGGGGTAATGAAAAATAGTAGTTTTAATATCATTTGATTGGGGAGTATGAGAAATTGAAATATTTAAGAATATGCTACCAATGATGAACAACTTTATCCTTTTGGACAGCTGTACTTATTTTTCAGGCTTTTGTTTTAAGATGCAAAACATGCAGCCTCTGTCGCAAAGCAAAACATTGAGGGAAAACTAACTGCAAAGCATAAGTTATTGCTTTCAGTTAATTGCACTCAGGAGAATCAGACTTGAAATATTCCGAGTACCCCTTCCAGGATGTTTCCAGGATTTTTGCTGCATTGTCTTTTGGTTGAGTATACATCCTTGTTTGTTTCACCTTCCAATTTTTCTAGTGATTCTTTCCCTTTTTATGATCCTGAGCTTGTTGTCCGACTACTTTCCTTACTTCTGTTTTGCTCCAGCATGCCTATAGTTGTCAAATTGTACACGGTCATGAAGATAAAAATGGAGTATGTGATGGTATTTCCTTCATTTACTGGTTCCTTCTTTCCTTCTTGTCGTACATTTTTATTATTTAAAGAATATCAAATACATTTACTTCTGTTTCTACAATTTTCTGTGGTCTTTTGTATTTTACCCTTTCTAAAGTCTGTTAATGTTTAACTATAAACAGATAAAAAGAAATTAATCATTCCTTTCTCAAGAGTACTTTTCAAGTACTCACAGAAGTGGTACACAGTCTAGATTGTCCAGTCATCTGGTCTTCTTCTTTGTTCTCTGTTTCCCTTCTCTGGGTTGTCAACTTTCCTGTAAGACTTAAAAATGTTGATGTGAACTGGACACTTTTTCCCCTTTAGAATATTAGGCCTACACATATGTTCATCATCTGTGGCATGGTCTGATATTTTGTTCCTCTTTGTATTCTTTTTTCTGGTATTTTTCATCCCAGGAAGAAAGTTTACACAACTTTTGTTAGGACTGTGCTGGAATTGAATTAATTGAAGCAAAATTGAAAATGCCAGTTACAGTTGATTGCAAGTTTCTATGTCCAAGACTAGACTATTATAACTCTTATATATATTTTCTAACCCCATAAAATACTTGTGCCTCAAGTTCAGGTTTATCATGCTTTTTATTAAGATTTGTATTACTTTTCCAGCCAATAGTTATGTTTCATTTATTTTTAACACAGAAACGAGCCTGCAAACCTTTGAATTTTAGGTTTTTTTACTTTTTAATTTAATATGCAATTAGTTGTTTGTTGGTAAAAAATATTTTAAACCCGAGAAAAGTATACGCTTAGTCTTGTTCATCTTAAGGGATCACAGTGAAAGTGTTTGTTATTACTCTAAATGAATGGTCCAGTTTGGGCTATGCCAAGGCTTTTTAATTTCACAAGCTGAAATGTCTTGTGTGTAGGGTCAATAGACCTGTCATAGGAATATGATATTTTTGAGGAGTTGCTCCTTCCTGGACTTCCACATTTGTACTGAAGTTTTGCTTCTTGTGCTTCTGTTTCAGTATCATTGACCAGAAGAGTGCCTTGCTCATTAGCCTACTCAATGACTACAATGTGCTGCAGGTTATAGTAAGTACATACTTGTTGTAAATCAAAGTGTTAATGTTGTAGGTTATGGTAAATGTAAGTTTTTACAAGAAGGAGTGAGTATAAAATGTCACTTGTGATGAGAGGTACAAATTATGTGAGTACAGTGTGCTAAATGTTATTGAAGGTATAGAATAATATAGGTGTATATATTAAGTTGACTTGCCTTCTCAGGGATCAGGCTGTAGGAAAAACTAGGCGCCACATTATCATTATTACTGTATCGTTTTGTGTTCTTGCAAAATTCTGACACCTGCCTTTGAGTGCTCATGACCTTAGTAAAACCAAGTCGGGGGCTCTCGTTGCCAAGAGCTTAGGGTGTTGGCCTCTCATTCAAAGGTCCCGGGTTCGAATCCGGGTAGGGACCGAACAATCTTCTTCTCTAAAATTGTCTCCTCATATGACCTTTTTGCATTTGCGAGTGCCATAAAACACTTACCAAAAAACAAAAAGTAAAAAAATAAATAATAATTTCTCCCTGCTGGATGAATAAAGATATTGTTACTGTCAGAGTCACAAAAAGAATATTTTCAGACTAAAGTCTATGGGAGAACTCAAGCCTTCTTTGGCTTACATGAACTATTCTTTTAATAACCTACCTCGTGTCTTATCAATTCCTTTTTTAGTAGCATTTACACACAAACATTGATTTATTGCATATTAAATTGTTTTCATGTAATCTAAAAACCCCTTTTTACACCATTTAATTCAAACTCTTTGCTCCGTTCTCTACATTCTATGCAGTAGATGAGGATGTGTTGTGTTTCTATGTCAGAAAGGTGTTAGTAAATCTGTGAAAATTTCTCATGTGATTAGCCAAAACCAAGGTGTTGAAACATGTTCTTTTTTTCTCTTCTCTAGCCGACTTACAAGGAGAATTTGGACGATGGCTTAGAAGACAAGCTGAAGATGGCTCTTATCCTGGTGTCAGTTGTACTGGGCTCTATCTGTGTCATCTTGGCCATTATTCTCTACTACACGTACAAGAGGTAAAGATGTGTTGTCTTTGTTCTTTTGTGTTAGGTAGGCCTACTTGGTGTACTAAAATGATGTTAACATCTTATAGGATGCAAGAATAGCATTGTCAAAACAAAAATATTATGTGCCTGAACACGCTTGGAAAGAGCTAGAGAGACATAACAACAAGTAAAATTAAATGGCTGGTTGTTGTATATGAGGGGCTGAGATGGGAATCCCGCTACATCCATATTAGCACTTTTGAGAAAATCAGCTTTTTAAAACTCTGTTAAAAGCAGAAACATGCATAAAAAGACGCGGTTTTTTTTGGCTATTATGAAATATGTGTTGGGTTTGGGCCGAAAACACTTTGTGCGTCTGATAGCTGGTAACAATGTGCATGTATAAAAGCAAAAAATCTCGATTTTTTCCAAAATGTCGCTTAGCGGGTTTTGCATCTCACCCCCTCATATGTAGTTGTTCAGATTGGGTGTTGAAGACTGCAGATTAGAAGAAAAGTCAGACTGTTGGTCTGGTTTCACAGTCCTCAGTGTTTTTACATTCTCTACCGCTCACCAAAACCTCTTTTTTGTCTCTGTGTACTTCTTCAGTTCTGTATACTACAGCTAGGTATTGATATTTTTCATTCTGTTAAAAAGAGATGTGCAAATAATTTTATTCCCAGATATCAAAGGAAACTGAAAGCTGCTACAGCAATGGCATATGGTAAGTTCTATGTGAGGCATCTTACTTCAATGCCAGCTAAATCTGTTCCTTACATACTCGTATATCCTGTGAGCCCTGCAGGACCTGCGAATCGTGATCACCTTTGGGTTGACTGTTGGATAGACTGATGGGTACACCATCACCTGCATATATATTCACTGCTTAGACGGGTAATGGAAGTCATGCTTTGGTCTGGTAGATTTTCTTTCTTCCATGATGCAACTGCCAGGATAGGGGAACTGTACTATTTACATCATGCTCACGCAAGTAAAGGGGATTTTTTATCTTTATTAAAGCTGAATTAGTGGAACTAGTTTGCTTGTCATGGATGAAAAGGGGTTAATTGTCAGACACTGAAATATTATGCCTTAATCATCTTTCTTAGGCAAATATTATTTTGTTGTATTATTGTTTCTTGATGGTAGATTTATATTTACTGCAGTTATATAGACTCTATTGCTAGTTATTGATGTGTGAGAAGCTTTGATAATCTCTTGAGACTGATACAAATTAATTTAACAGGAGACATATGATATATATGCAGTCCAATATATTCTCACAAACACATGCACACATGCACTCATGCTACCTTTTTTCTTACATGCATTTATGTAAAGCGCCTAGAGGTGTGTTTATACAGGAGTGGGCGCTATAGAAATGATCTTCATTATCATTATTATTATTATTGCCTCACTCCCACATGTTCTCACTCAAGGTGAGGAGATATTTTTGTGTTACAAAATTTAAAGTAATGAGGTTTTATTTATTTTCACGATGTTTTAAACCTTTACAATGTTCTTTGCAGTCAACTCAGGATGTGGTATGTTCTTTCTGACTCTTTTGTCCTGATTTATTCCTATGTTCTTCTGTTGTTCTTTTCTTCATACTGGTGACTTTTACAAGAAAAGCTCTTTCAACTAAATGTGTTTAAATGTTAGTTTTGTATTGGTTGAGTATTCAGTTAAAGAAGAAATTTTATATTTCCATTCTCAAGATTACTGAAGGTAGGTCAAGCAATATAATTGTGAGCTGTTGATGACCCATTCATGCACCTCGTTATTGTCATGTACACTTTCGTTTTGGATTTTGTTTTATTTTTTTATTTTTGTGGCTATTTAACATTTCAAACATTTTTACATGGTTATTCTGGTGGGGTTTGCTCCTTCTTTCCTATCAAATATCTGTCGTCCTTATCTCTTCTTCTTTTCTTTGTATGTTACTCTCTAATAACACCTCTAACATTTGGCACTCCTATAACCTAATTGTGTTGCAAGTGTAAGTGCAATTTTACTTTAAAAAGGTTACATGGTAACAGAACTATTCTGCAGTGGAGATAGTATAAAACCTTTGCGAGGCATCTTGGTGGAATCAGGCACTCCTCAAAATAATGAAAGTGGAGAAACTGACCTTTTTGTGCAGGTTTGCGAATTTTTATTAAATTTTTGTTTTGGGGTTCAACACCTGTCATGTCTATTAAAAAACACATTTCTGTGTGGATTGTGCTGAAAAACATCAAATAAAGGCATACAAAATGTAAATTTGCTGTTTCCACGGACTCTCAAACTAAGGAAATAACTAAACTTTGGCGGCCATTTTCTCGCTTATTTTTACCTCTGAGACCAGGCGACCCCCACCTCCTTCAATAGTTAATATCTCGACTTGTATTCAAGATAAATGGATCTTTTTCTATCGAAAGCAGGACAAATAAAAAAGCTTCAAGATGACACCAATATCTTCACTTGCCCAAAAATTGACGAGCGCCTGATTCCACTGCGTCATGACACTTATTGCTATAATGATAATGATACAGTCAATATCGAACAGCTTTGTATAAAATCTGCATTTAATTTAGGCTATAAAGTTGAAATTGTTTGTAATGCAGATTTCTCCAGTTGCACAGTATTTTAATGTTCTGTAATTGTTACAAAGCCCTTATGTTCTGAGCTTCCTGATAGTAGGCCTAATATTGGGTTGTTTCATTCTCTACACTCATCATTTAAAGCATTTCAGATCTTAGCTGCTCCCCATTTCTATTGAATTCAAAATGTTTCAAATTGTTAATACAGCTGGGTATTTCAGGTGGTACGAGTTGTACAGATTTTCAAACAAGTATTTTGTCTACTGTAAAGGAAATTTTTGTGGAATCATTCGAAATGCAGTAATTGTTGGAAACTTTTTGTATCAGTTACAATGTCTACAATTTCCTAAGAAGCAGAATAGCAGTCATTTTCTGTCTGCCAAGAATACTTACAGTGACTCTAAACTAGAATGATGGCTCTATCTCTGCCGGGAACTACTTCTGTTGCTCAGAAGTGCTCATGGTTCAGTCTCTGCCTGTGAAACAGCTTTGAGCAAACTCAAAGCTATACATGATTTGTTTTGCTCATAAAAATTACCCAGAGAAATCGGGAATGACACATTATTCTAATTATGCTGAAGAAATATTTTAAAGTGCTTCACAACTTAGCTTGGTGCACTGGCTGCGGTCAGACTTGTCAACCTTTAACAGTTTGTTTTTTTTTAAATAGATCTTTGTGAACTACATGTACTTTGATTTTGTTTTTATAATTTGTTCAGTTCCGTTTTTCACTTTGTTGCTCCCGCTTTGTAGAATAATAGTATGGCCTTTTAATTATTTTTTCAGAACCCAAAGAATCTGACCTTTATAAGGCTGACATCCCTGGGACAAACATACATTCTTTTGAAAAGTAAGCAATACTTACTTAACATATTGCTTGATGTGGTGACAGGACTTTTGATCAACAGACAATTCTAACTTCTTCTCTTTTTTGTTCTACACTAATTATAGAAATGAATAACTTACATTTTCCAGAATCAATTCAACAGCGGTATCATTTGTCTAATTTTCTAATAGAAATTTATACTTTTAAGTCTTCTGATATTCTTATATTATAGATCACTAACAATCTTTGTAGCAACTGGCTAGGTTCAGCCTGCATTTTAATTTTAGTTGCGAAATACTAAGTTATCATAATTTATGGATTATGATCTGTGGTCATGCTGTATAAAAGATAAACCAACAATAGTTTCATAACAGTTTTCTTGGTTTCTTTCCAAATGTACTTGAGAGAAGATAATATATATATATATATATATATATATATATATATATATATATATATATATAGGAGAATAGTTCTTTATGAATTATGAGTGCACCCAATAATCTTGTGTGTTGTGTTTGAATCAATTGTGTATGTTAGATCCATTGTAAAAAAATACAGCTCCGTTTTAGTTTGAGTTTATCTTCATTTCATAAGTTTGTTTATTTTGTACTGGTATTGCTTAATGAAAACATACCCAGCTTGTTGCTTTTAATACCGTATCATTTTTTAAAAGTAAGTATTTTTGTTTTTACAAAAATTGATGCTTCTCATTTAGATAAACTTTTTCAGGATGAAATTCATAAATGCACCTTAAGTGAAAACTGTATGGTTTGTGAACTGGAAGAAAAGCTAATGCATACTATTTAATGCTTTTACTGTGTTGCTGTGAGTCTGTGGAGTTCCTGATACCAAATTATACTTCTGACTGTAGGTCTATTAGATATTTGATTATGGCCTTGATGAGGTCTAGTATCTACTTAGTTTTTACAGTGAGAATGTGAGCTTGATTATAAAATATTATATAGATATATCAATTTTTAAGTAGCCTACATAAGCCTAGGAAATATGATTTGGTGAATTCGTACGTTATCTGTTTAAACACAAAGGAAACTATTAATAGTTGATATTATAATTGTCAATTGAAAAAGTACCAGTCTTACAAGATAAGAATTAGGGAAAAAAAGTGACGTTTAAAACGCTGGTTGTGTAGGCCTATACTGTTGATGAAGACATAAACAGAACTGTGCATCCAAGATAGCTTAATATTAATACTCAAGCTGTTCTTTTTAGTTCAATGACGACTTCACTATTTTCTCAATGTTCTTAATTTCCTTCCGATTTGTCTTCAAGTTTGTCCAAATCTGGAAATTGTCATTTTGAAAGATTTCTTCTGTAGTGTAGTTGTAAATTCATCTCTGAGTGAGGTCCAAATTGTTCTTTTCCCCTCATGAAGTCTAATTCCCCTCTAAGTCATGTGTCCTGATGGAGAGCCAAATTGCTTCAGTGGGTCTTGTAAACGAAACCATAAAGAAATAATATGTTATATAGGTTGTCCGGTACCATAAAATTTGCTCTTGCTTATTTTCCTTTTTTCTTTCTTTTAAAATGCGATCTGAAGTTAAAAATAAAAACAAGTCTTTGGATCATGATGTTTTTTTCATATCTCTTGTGCAACTGTTTGCCTAGAAGTCTGCTAATTATGAAATCACATTCCTGCATGAGAGAGTGTTGTGCTGCCTTCCGACACAATGGCTCATAGATGTGTGATGTCTCAGGTATTGTGACCATCGTGGCCTACTGAGTGAACCAAGTAGGCTACCAGTGGTTTGCTCCATCAATTTATTATACTAAGTCATATTACTTTGTATTTGAATCACTTGAAATAAGATAAAGCCTATTTGTTGTCTTTGAATTGATTATGATGTTCAAAATTGATTATCTTCTCTCAGACTTGGAGATTGTTCAAGGAACAGCTTCAAAATTAGCTTGGGGGCCATCTGTTTTGGGCCCTGTAGTGAAATTGAAGTCAGAATATAGTTCCATCCATTCTACAACTCTGCCAGTATTTTAAAAAATTTCAGTTGTGTCGTAATGCTCTGGAAAATACCCTTTTTTACTCTTCATTAAAAATTCTTATGCCTTCAATAGAATAACATTTATTGGCTATTTCATTGTTGTCTTTCTAACCTTTTTCCAAGCCATCTAAAATTGCATCAGATAATCCATGGGTAATATAGTGCACTTAACAAAGCAAGATAACCGTGTAAGACTAGACTTGTTTCATTTGTTGAAGCTGCCAGTGTGTTGCAGGTACACCTTTAAAACAAGGAATAAAAATATGCTTAGCTAAACGAGTTTCATTAATATCTTTACGTCAATCCCTAGAAAAGAGATTGTATCATCTCAGTCTGCTGTTGGATGTAGGAAAATTATTTTAGCATACCCTATATAAATATATATTTTTTTTTTAGTTTTAGAACTCTTGTGCACATCAATAACACCACGATTTAAGTAAAGGGGTTATATCTAATCTGTGCATTTTCCTTTGCTGCTCCTCTCAAAATGGATCAATAGCTTGATTGTTTGAAGTGTAAAAATCTAGTTTTAGTTTTAGTTTTAGTAGAGGTTTTACAGCGCTCGCAACTGCATAAGGTCATATGAGCGCCAGAAGATTAGAGGTGTTACAAGAGAGAAACAAACACAAAAAAGAAGAAGGGGAGATAAGGTCGATAGATGTTTGATAGGAAAGAAGAAGCAAACCACACCAGAGCACCCGCCAACCACCCACGTTTTTTTTTTTTTTTTTTTTTTTTTTTTTTGGCGGATTCAAAGATCCGCCATCGAGAGAAAGTGGCGTTGAGCCAGCTATCTGAATAAAAAGATAGTGAAATTTGCATTGAATACATCCGTTCCAGTAAGATATTGTCATTCAGAAAAGTCACTTCCTTAAATCTGCTGCCAACAAATTTCAGTATGGTTTGCAAGAAAGAATAGACATCAAGTTTTACTCAAGCAAATGTAAAGAAAACGCCGGAAGATTATTGCTTTTTAGGTGGGCTTGTTTTTTTCTCAAATAATTTTTCGTTTCTTCAAGTTAGAAATGTGGAAAAGCTTATTTCAGTAATTCCCTACTATTGAAAGAAGTCAGGGCATAGAGGAGTATGATATGAGAAAGGATGTGTATGAGGCATGAATCATTCTTTGACTGATATTTTTGCTTTGGGGTGCACCACTGCCCACGTCCTCTCTTCACCCCTTGACTTTCTATTGCTCACCCTTTTGTCACAGACCTCGAATCTTTGAAGGACAAACCCGATTTTGATTGTACGTATACCGTTATTTTTTCATATGCTCAAAGAGAAAGAGAAAAAGGCTTTTTCTGATTCTCACCTCTCTTTTCTCCAGTTATTTAATTTTACAGCGTTCACTATGTGTGTCTCTGAGCACATTTCACTCCCCCAGTTTCTCTCTCAATCACTGATTATAACACTTTCACTTCTTTGGTGTTTCTTGGAGCCAGTGGTTGACACTGCAATGTCTGTTCAAGTTTCTGTCAGTGTTGTTTCGTCAGAATTCCATTTCTTCCTGTCTGCCAGACTGCATGCAAAGATAAAGTGTTGTGGCACACATGCAGTTGAATTTTCCAGGGACATGCACACCTTCGAGTAGGACATGTAATTACTCAAGCATGATAAGCTATACTATACCGTTCTCAAAGATTAGAGGATGAGCTTTTCTGAGGAAGGTCATATCTTTATTTACTACATTACTTATTTGCTTTGTATTATGTATGAATGCTTAAAGCAGAAACAGTACGCTATGTTGCAGATCTTTTTTTTCTTTCTTTCAAACCGAAATGTTGAGCAGTGTTTTTTTGGTTTTTAAATTATGCTTCTTTTTGTGATAGTTGGTTTCACTTTAAGGAAAAGCTAGGGTGCGCAAAATATTTTATTGATCGATTATGATAGGTTTCAGTGCATATATATTTTTTTATTCTCATCAGTATTAGCAATTGTCATGCTTAGTAGTATACTTTATAAGATCCTGCTTTCTTAATTGAGAAAACTGAGTTCTTGTATACACATATATACGCTGATAGATCTGATTTTATTTAAAACAGGACACAAAAACATTTTGTTGAATTGTAGACGCTTTTTATTATCTTTTTTTGTCAATCTTTCCAAATTGTGAGTACTTGATGATCGTCATGTAGTGAACTGGCTTTAAAAAATAGAATCAGGCTAGAGGGTCACATGTTTTGTATTTTTGGTCTTTCGATACAATTACAAAATGCTTGAAGCACTGAATTTGTTCTCTATTGTCCAGATGGTCTTGGTGTGTAGCTTGCTTTTCTTATGCAGAGATGCCAGGTTTATTCCCTACTATGCCCCAGAAAAGTAATTCCATGTAGTGAGAAGGTCAGTGGGAAAAGGGCAATATATATGTACATAAGAAAAGCAAGCTACATATATATATATATAAATATATATTATATATATATGTATGCATACCGTTTTGTATGAGATCTTGATTTGCTACGACAGTTATATCACACAGCACTGCTATTGTCTCTAAGAGTATCTAATATATTTTTGTTTGAATATTAATATTTTAACTGTCCTCTGTATGTTATGTGTGTGTGTGTGTGTGTGTGTATGTTATATGGTATACCATTTACTCTACTCCGCTAGTGTCGTTGTCCTCTATTGACATATATACTGCTAGTTCTGTTTACAAAATGATAGAAATTATTGTTTTGGCATTAAGTAAATAAGCCTACATCGTCGACACAGAACCAATCTTACATGATCTTTTTAAAGTTACCTAGTTCAGCTTGTTCAGCATGGCTGAACATATTTTATGTAGTATAGGTACATAATCATCTTCCAAAACTGTCTTGTTATTAACCTGAGATGGAAAAATGATGCCGTTAACTTGTTGAATAATAGAATTTGTTATATATCATATTATATTCCTGTTGACAACTTGCACTTATGAGCAATATGAGTAACTAGAGTTGGAGGAAACGTCTCTTAAATTTTTTAGGTCAATTGGTAAATAAGTATTTAAGAAACATTTGTGCTGTCATTATTGCTATACTTGGTAGGCACAATAATGCATTGTATTATTTTCCATTCCTTCACCTTTATGTATAAAATCTTTATGAGAATATTTCAATGAACCTCAAAGTTGGACCATATCTCAAGATTTTGGTTACTGATCTCTTTTGATGTTATTTGTTTGTGGGTTTTTTTATCTTAAATTTTAGTAACTCATAACCTTCTTATTTTTTGCATTAGAAGTGAAATTTGCACTTTCTAAAGTGTATGGTCCATGTGGAATTGAAGCTTTCGTCATGGTTTTTGTGGTGCATGCTCTTGTATTGCCCTATGTGAATCCCTTGATATCGTTGCCTTGCATTGACTGAATGTTTCTTTCTCCAGTGCAAACCCAATTTTCTTAGAGAAGATGATGTTGGATAACAATGAAGACGGGTAGGTGAAGTTGATTAGGAATGGATTGTATTAGCGCAAGAGTATTGCTCCAAAGTTAGAGCACAGTGGAAAGGTTTCTGTCAAGGATTTTGTGATACCTGAGTTAGGGCTAACAGCTAATTATCAATTGTTTTGTTTTATTGCAGTTAGAGCACTGTTACTCTCCAATCCCTCTCTGTAGTGTAAGAACTTTAATTATCTCACTAAGCTGTCAGCTCTTCATTCTGACCAACTCTTAGAACACAGCATCTAAATTTGGTGTCTGTGAACTACATATTATTTTTAATGTTATGTCATTTTGTTCATTTTACATAATGCACAAAGTTGCTGCAGATGACAGCAGTAGGAAATTATCATGAAAAGTGCAGTGTCTGTATTGGTGTTAATTGTTGTAAATAAAAGCTTTCAACGTCAGTTATAGAGGTCTCACAACATCCTTCTGCAAACATGTCAATATATGAGCTTTGTCCACTGTGGCATTTTGTCGGCAGCATGTTGACATTTGCTTTGCCTTTCCTGTAAGAAGGGTAGAACTCACACCTCCACTCTGCCAGTATGCATGGTCCTGTCTGATGCTGTAGCACGTTGTTTCCGGCAATGTTTCGCAATCATGAAGACACTGTGTAGGGACCTGGTGGTAGTGTGTGACTCTGGGATGCAGGTTATACTATAGTAGTCCAATGAGGTACTACAGTGTTTTTCAATAGCTGTGTAGTAAGTTTAGACAAGTTCGTGCATGCAAATGCCAAAGCCTGCTCATTTGTCGAACCAAAGCACAGATAATATTATTGTGATTATTTTTTTTTCTTCAAATCGGCAGGAGTTCGACTAGCTTCACCTTCTTTTGTTACCATGTAGGACTTCAAGTTGTTGATAGAGAATGAATTGAGCAAGAAATTAAGAAGGGAAAAGGTAGCTTAAATAGGGGAGAAGAGCAGGTTGAGCGGAAGGGATGGCAGAAGTGATATATGATAAGGGGAAAAAAGAAAAGCAAGAGGTGTGTAAGGGGGTGGGAGCTGAATGTTATAACGAACAATTTAAGGAGCAGGAGGAAGAAATAAGGTAAAGGAGGAGCAGTATTATGGGAGAAATGAAAGACGTTGAGCACAACGGAAAAGAGAGGGAGGACGAAGACAAATGATAGCAGTGCTATTTTTTTTATTCCAGAGAATTACCAAAGAAAACAGTGGAAGCCAATAATAATTATGTGGCAGCCTATAAATTTATGGCCTTTTTTCAATTGATTTACATAGGGGCCTATTATTCTCTAAGAAGAATAAAACTCAGAGATCCTCAACACCACACCCTCTCAACAACCCTTGTTCTGATTCTCCCTTTTCCTGTGCAAAGCCTTATACTTTCATTTATTTCCAACTTTGTCTACAGTTTCCTATTTAAACTGAAATTGGGACTTGCATATTATATAACTTGGGAACATCAGGGAGACAGATTTAATACATTCTGGATTCATGTAGTGTACGTTGTGGTGTAGCCAAACTCAGTTATAGCAATATAATATAATAATATTATGTCTATTTTCAACTTAACCGTATGGCCATTCCACTTCCAGGTGTTTTAGTGTCTTTAGGGTGGGGATTATGATAGGTAAATTGTTGGACAACACTAGTCATAGTTATTTGTGCTTAAGTCTTAATCCATGGTCAGCAAAGCACCCAAAAGTAAAAGCTAGGAAGGATACTTAATTTGTATAAATCTAGATAACATACTTTGGTCAGCAGTTTGTGGGCAAGGCTAGAAACAGCTTATGCAAGGTCACTGTTTCGGTATTCTTTAAAATTAATTATAACATTTCATTACTAGCAATAAAAGCATGAAAATTGTACGGTGCACAAATACATATAATATATTGAAAAAAAAGCTACTTAGTATATAGATCTAGATGTTTTGATAGTAGGCCTACTAACATAATACAATCCTTTTGCACTTAATATGTTAGTGTTAGCCAAAAAGTTTCTCTGTAATGTAATATTCCCCATGTAGCAGTGGGAAGGGGAGCAAACATTGACTTGAGACGGGTTTCTTCATCATCAAGGCGTATCCACAGTACCTGGTTTGTATTTAACCCCCCC